CCCTTTGACCAACATGGTAGGTGGGAGCAGGAATTCTCCGACGGTTGGCCCCGGTAGTGTAGCTGGCAACGGATCTGAGGAGTGTGGCTCGGGCTTGTGACCAGGTGCGGCGACATCGACGGGCAAAAGCAAGTGCAGATGGGCAAGTAACCTCCCCTTCCTGGCTGGCAAATAGAGGAGGCTGGTATCCATAAACACATTGGAAAGGGGACATACCGATGGCAGAGCAGGTCAGAGAATTGTGTGCGTACTCCACCCATGTCAATTGCTGCGACCAGGAGTGGGGGTTGCGTGAAGTCATGCATCGCAGTGCCTTCTCGAGCTCCTGATTTGCCCGCTCTGACTGCCCATTGGATTGGGGATGGAATCCGGAAGTCAGACTGACTGTGGCTCCCAGCAGGTGACAGAACTCCTTCCAAAAAGCGGAGGAGAATTGTGGACCACGGTCAGAAACTACATCCTTTGGCAGTCCGTGGATCCGGAAGACGTGTTCCAGGACCACCTGGGCGGTTCTCCTTGGCGGTTGGGAGCTTGGGGAGGGGAATGAAGTGTGCCATCTTGCTGAATCGGTCAACTATGGTGAGAATGACGGTCATGCCACTTGAAGGGGGCAGCCCCGTGACAAAGTCAAGGGCGATGTGAGACCAGGGACGTCTGGGCACAGGCAGGGGCTGCAGCAATCCGGCTGGGGGCTGGCAGGACGACTTGTGTTGGTTGCAGATGGGGCAGGCTTGGACGAATTCCCGTACATCCTTTCTCAGAGAGGGCCACCAGAACCTCTGGGCGAGCAGGTTGTAAGTGCGGGTGGAGCCAGGGTGACAAGCTAGGCGGGAGTCATGTCCCCACTGAACGACCTGGGACCTCAGGTTTTCGGGGACAAAAAGGCGGTCAGCTGGGCAAGTGCTGGGACCTGGCTGGTTACGGAGAGCTTCCAGCACCTGTTCCTCAACAGCCCAGGTCAGAGCTGCTACGATGCAGGGACTTGGCAGAATCGACACAGGATCCTTGGAGGGGTTGTCATCCTTCTGGAATTGACGGGAGAGGGCGTCTGGCTTGGTGTTGCGTGATCCAGGCCGGTTATGACAGAGTGAAATTAAACCTGGTGAAGAACAGGGCCCAGCGGGACTGCCTGGAGTTCAACCGTTTGGCCGTGCGGATGTACTCCAAGTTCTTATGATCGGTCCAAACGAGAAATGGAATGGTGGACCCCTCCAGCCAGTGACGCCACTCCTCCAAGGCAAGCTTCACAGCCAGCAGCTCTCGGTTCCCTATGTCGTAATTGCACTCAGAGGGGGACAACCGACGTGAGAAAAAGGCACAGGGATGGAGCTTCCTATCCTCCGCAGCCCACTGAGAAATCACAGCACCAACTCCCACATCCGAGGCGTCCACCTCCACAATGAATTGCCGGTCCACATCAGGCATCTGGAGGATGGGAGCGGAGGTGAACCTTACCTTGAGGGTACTGAAGGCCTTGTCGGCTGCTGGGGTCCAGGTGAAGGGTTGCTTGGTGCTGGTTAGAGCAGTGAGAGGGGCAGCAACGGTACTGTAGTTCCGGATAAACTTTCTATAGAAGTTAGCAAACCCCAGAAACTGTTGCAGCTTCTTTCTGTTCTCCGGAACTGGCCATGAAGTGACTGCTGATACTTTGGCAGGATCCATTTGGATACTTCCCTCTGCCACTATGTACCCCAGGAAGGCCACTGTCATGACGTGAAACTCACATTTCTCTGCCTTGGCGTAGAGGGAATTCTCCAGAAGACGATGAAGGACTTGCTGGACATGGCGGGTGTGTTCAGACAGGTTTCTGGAGTAGATTAAGATGTCATCCAGGTAAACGAAGACAAACTTGTTTAACATGTCCCGCAGTACATCATTCACTAGAGCCTGGAACACAGCAGGAGCATTGGTGAGGCCAAAAGGCATAACCAGATACTCGTAGTGGCCTGTTGGTGTATTGAATGCGGTCTTCCATTCATCTCCCTCCCGGATCCGCACTAGGTGGTAAGCGTTTCTGAGATCCAACTTGGTAAAAAACAGTGGCTCCCTGGAGCAACTCAAAAGCAGAGGTGAGCAGAGGCAGAGGGTAACGGTTTTTCACTGTGATGTCGTTGAGTCCCCTGTAGTCGATGCAGGGGCGAAGAGATCCGTCCCTCTTCCCCACAAAGAAGAAGCCAGCACCAGCAGGAGATGAAGATGAACGGATTAATCCTGCGGACAGAGAGTCATTGATGTAGTCCTCCATGGACTTTCTTTCAGGAGCAGACAACGAATAAAGACGGCCCTTTGGAGGGGCTGTTCCAGGGAGGAGGTCGATGGCACAGTCGTACGGTCGGTGAGGGGGCAGAGATGTGGCTCTTGCTTTGTTAAACACTTCTCTGAGACCATGGTAGCATTCTGGGACATTGGAGAGGTCAGGAGCGGAGTTAGTAGGTACTGGCCGAGGGGGTAGTGCGGCAGCAAGCAGGCAGGTTCGGTGGCAGTCCTCTCCCCACTCCCTGATCACCCCGGTCACCCAGTCGAGCTGAGGGTTGTGCCGGCGGAGCCATGGGTAACCCAGGATGAGGGGTTGGCCTGGAGAGGGGAGCAGGTGAAACTGGATAGTTTCTTGATGGTTTCCGGACAGACCCATCGAGACCGGGGCCGTGACATGAGTGACCGATCCGAGTAAGTGTCCGTCCAGTGCCCGGGCAGGAATAGGAGGTGTCAAACGGAGGTTCTCCAGTCCCAGTTGGCGTGCCAGCTTGATGTCCATTATGTTGGCTTCGGCGCCAGAATCCACCAGAGCAGCCAGGGTGTGAGTTGAGTCAGAGAGGCGGAGGTGAACTTGCAGCAGGGGTTTGCGGTCGGAGGACTGGATGGTCATTGAGCTCAACCGGACTCCCCCTATGCCCGGTGAGCTTCGGCTTTTAAAGGGCAGGTTACCACACGATGTCCATCACCTCCACAATAGAGGCAGAGGTTTGAGGTGAAGCGGCGCTGGCGCTCTGCAGGAGTGAGAGAGGCTCGCCCAATCTCCATAGGCTCAGACTGATCAAGCTGACTTGGGTGAGTGGCAGTAGATGACAGGAGCCCAGTCGGATCTCTCCGAATGCCGGTAGTTGGTGGACCTTGGCGCCCCCTCTCACGACGACGGGTCTGTATCCTTCTGTCGATCCGGACAGTCAGTGCGATGGCTTCATCAAGAGTGGAAGGCAGTTCATGGGAGACCAACTCGTCCTTGATATAGTCAGCCAAGCTATGGAAGAACGCGTCCACCAACGATGGTGTGTTCCAAGAACTTCGTCTTGCCAGGGTTCGGAAGTCGATGGAATGGTCTGCGACTGTACGTCTGCCTTGTCGAATACTGAACAGTTCACGAGACGCCTCTGCGGTTGGTGAATCCAGGTCAAACACCTTCAGCATCTCCTCAGCAAACAGGTCGAAGGTTGCACATGCGGGGGTTTGACGTTCGAACTCTGCTGTTCCCCAGAGTCGAGCTCGGCCCGTCAGGTGAGTGATGGCATACCCAACTTTAGCCCCCTCCGTGGCGAAGGTCCTTGGCTGCAAGGAGAACTGAAGTCGGCAGCTAGTCAGGAATGGCCGGACCTGGGTTGAATCGCCGTTGAACCGCTCGGGGTTTCCAATCTTGGGTTCCGGAGCAGCGGCTGCAATGACCGGGGCAGGTAACTCGGGGGCAGGGCTGGTGGGCAGACTGCCTGGAAACGGGCCGGTGGGCGGAGTGGCTGGGGTAAGGTTGGTGAGGAGTTGGATGATCATGGCGAGTTGTTGTTGCTGCTGCTGGAACTGCTGCTGGTGCTGCTGGAAACTGCTGATGCTGTTGGTGGCCGACCTGAAGCAGAGAGGTGATGTCGCCGCTCATGCGGGCTAGCTCTCTCTCAGTGTGTTCCAGGCGTAGCATGGCGGTGGGTTGCTCAGGTTCGTCGGTTTCCATGTCGGGGGAAGTGTGCGCTGAGTCCATGATGGTCAGATCGTACTGTCACGGTTCAGACAGACGACCAGAGGACCACAATTGCGTCACACCAGAAAGTTTATTAAAACTTAAGGGAAAAGGGAAGTAGGGAGTGAGTGAAGGCTCCAGGGGTTACTGGGAATAACAGGGATTCCGTCCAATGTGCTGGGTCTGTGCCCCCCCCAGTGGCAGCGATGCGTCCTATGACGCCGGTGGTTGGTGGTCCAGAAGTCCTGGGGGGGGGGAAACACAGACACAACGGGGCGGATGAAACAAGGCAGAAGTACAGTTCAAGGGAAATCCAAATACGTTGTAGCAAGGCAGAAGGCTGGTCAGAGTTACCGGGATCGAAGAGTAGTCAGGAGTCGTAATGGCAGAAAGCAGGTCTGGTTTTCCTGGGGCAGAAGAGTATCCAAGAATCAGGCAGGTCCGGGGTCACAAAACAAGGGTGAGCCAGAAGCGCGAGCAAACAGGTTCCGGGTGTGAGCTTTGCAGACGATCTGACAAAGGAGAGCTGAAAGACAGGGCTTTAAATACTGGGAGAGGTTAGTGGGTAATGCAGCGCAGCTGGCAGAGTAATTAGAGCCGAGCAGAGCAGGGACAGGTGGAGCTAGTTAGGCTGAGTAGAGAGAGAGTGGTGAGCAGAGTGGAAGATAGTGGAAACAAATTAAGGTGGTAACCCGGTGGAGTGAGAGGGCTCATGACAACTTTTAAGGTTACCCCCTGCAGCATGGGTGTTGGAGGGGAGGGCTGGGTCCAGTGATTGACGCTGGCTGTAATAAAGTAGCTCAACAAGTTAGGAAATGGGACTTAAATCACTTGGGGGCTAATTGTAACATTACAAAATGTTCAGATAGAAAAGCCCAGAACATTCTCCAGATTTCTAGGTGGAAACCAGTCTGACCAATGGGATAACTTTCTTGACCATCCCTCTCCACCAGGCTTCCGTCCCAGGATTGGTCAGAGAGCAGCCCATCAGCAGCAGTGACAGTGGGGTCGTCCAGGGTCAGAGGTCCGGGGTCAGAGGCTGGATGTATAAGACGGCTTCATGGGCCTGAAGGACCATCTGGAGGATGGAACAGGCCACAACCTCAACCTGGGTCTGGATTTGGACTACCTCCATGTGGAAGGCACCGACCGCCAGGCCAGCTTGAGTGCCACAGCCGGCACCCACTCAGGAGCCTTGGAGGGAGAAGAGGCGGAGGTGGGAGGCACCCATAGCAGTGTCAGTAGTAGCAGCATCAGCAGTAGTAGTAGTAGTAGTAGTAGTAGTAGTAACTCCTCTGAAGAAAGTACTGCGTCAGACAGCGAAGATGAGCGGGGGGTCCACCATGGCTTTGGTTCTGAAGCTGAGACCCCCCACCCGCACCCCTGTCACCCTGCTGGCCTGGGCCCGGCACAGATCCCCCCCACTAGGGACCCCAAACTCCCCACCGACCCCCTCACAGAGTACCGCTCCAAGATGGAGTTTGCCCTGAAGCTGGGCTACTCTGAGGAGCTGGTTCTGCTGGTGCTGAGGAAGTTAGGGCCTGACGCCCTCATCAACGACATACTGGGAGAACTGGTCAAACTGGGCACCAGGACAGAGACAGAGCAGGCTGGGGAGTCTGCCGCCTCCCAGTCGCCCTCTTCTTCCTCCTTATCCTCCTCCTCTCTGGACTCCTGCAGGCTGGACTGCTCCTCCCAGCTTCTGTTGGATGACAAGGAGAACATCAGGCCTGTGGTGGTGGATGGGAGTAATGTAGCCATGAGGTGAGTCAACACAAACTGCTGCTGCATTCAGAAACATTTTACTCCGGTTCATTTTCTATCTGCAAGACCTCATACACTGCTCTCCTGATTTATAGTATTATACAAATAAACAAAAACACATGTCATGATCATGAATTTGTGTGTGTTTCTCCACAGTCATGGTAATAAGGAAGTGTTCTCCTGTCACGGCATCCAGCTGGCTGTTGATTGGTTCCTGGAACGTGGTCACCGTGACATCACTGTGTTTGTGCCCGCCTGGAGAAAGGAACAGTCCAGACCGGACGCCCTCATCACAGGTATACAAGCACTTCCATGTCCACCCCCAACATTCCACCCCACAAAAGTGTGCAAGTTTGAGAATGTCTGTTAGGTTTATAGAATTGTATTTTTGAATCAGCAAGAATTAGATTGAGCAATATGCTAAAAGCCCCTTCTTAAATTAAACTTGTTTTTGACAGTATGGAGCATAATACCACGAGGGAGTTTAGAAGGGAGGAATTCAAACTTTTATTCCATAGGCTGGGATCCATAAAGCACATTTTTCACTGGCTGTCCACTGGGTCATAGGCTATTAATTACGCCGATTCTGTTGCAAAACTGAACTAAATATGGAGGGACCTACCTTAATTTGTCCAATAGAAACTCTCGTTTTGTTCTGATGGCTTCCATTTGGTTCTTAAACGGTAAACGGTTTCCGTAATGAATACACCCCTGGTCGTAAAAACAATGATTGATAGGCAGCATAAGTTTCTTCAATTCAACCATTATTGGGTTAAAATACACATATACATTTGTGAACAGCCATCCACAACAACCACAATCCATAAGGCACAAATAGCTAAATGAGAGCAGTGTGATTCACATCAAAGCCTTTTCTTTTGGGGTGTTGCTATAGGCCACTAAGTGCTAACAGTCAGTATCTAAATAATATGTGTGAAATGCTTGATAGTGTATGTGATGTAAACAGAGAGGTCTACTTTCTTGGGGACCTGAATATTGACTGTTTTTCATCAAGCTGTCCACTCAAGAGGAAGCTTCTCACTGTAACCAGTGCCTGTAATCTGGTTCAGGTTATTAATCAACCTACCATGGTGTTTACAAACACTACAAGAACAAGATCCTCCACGTGTATCGATCACATTTTTACTAATACTGTAGAACTTTGTTCTAATGCTGTATCCGTACCCATTGGATGCAGTGATCACAATATAGTGTATATATCCAGGAAAGCCAAAGTTCCTAAAGCTGGGCCTAAAATAGTGTATAAGATCATACAAAAGATTTTGCTGTGACTCTTATGTGGATGATGTTAAAAATATTTGTTGGTCTGATGTGATTAATAAGGCGCATCCAGACGCTGAACTTTATGGAATTGCTTCTTCCAATTATTGATAAACATGCACCTGTTAAGAAACTGACTGTTAGAACTGTTAAGGCTCCATGGATTGATGAGGAATTGAAAAACTGTATGGTTGAATGAGATGGGGCAAAAGGAGTGGCTAATAAGTCTGACTGGCTGACTTACTGCAAATTGAGAAATTATGTGACTGAACTTAACAAAAAGAAGAAGAAACTCTATTATGAAGCCAAGATCAACGATATAAAGAATGATGGAAAAAACTTTGGAGTACTTTAAATGAAATTATGGCCAGAAAGACAAATTCAACTCCATCTTTCATCGAATCAGATGGCTTATTCATCACAAAACCATTTGATGTTGCCAATTATTTTAATGATTACTTCATTGGCAAAGTGGGCAAACTTAGGCAGGAAATGGCAACAACAAACAGTGAGCCATCGTATTCATGCATAAAAATAAAAATAAATGATAGAAAAGCATTGCAAGTTTGAATTTTGTAAAGTTAGTGTGGGAGAGGTAGAAAAATTATTTTTATCGATCAATAAAGACAAACCTCCTGACATTGACAACTTAGATGGAAAGCTACTGAGGATGGTAACTGAATCTGTAGCCACTCCTTTCTGTCATATCTTTAATCTGAGCCTAGAGCAAAGTCTTTGTCCTCAGACCTGGAGGGAAGCCAAAGTAATTCCACTACCCAAGAGTGGTAAAGCAGCCTTTACTAGTTCTAACAGCAGACCTATAAGCTTTCTGCCAGCTTTTAGCAAACGGTCGGAAAAAATGGTGTTTGACCAAATACAATGCTATTTCTCTGTAAACAAATTGACAATAGACTTTCAGCATGCTTATAGAGAAGGGCACTTAACCCTCCCATTGTCCTAGGGTCAAAATGACCCGCCACTGTGTTGAACCAACTTTATTTAATTTGTATATTTTTGGGATCATTTGTGAGAAGGAGGCAGTGAGACTTTAAAGAAAGTATCACTGCCTCCTTCTCACAAATGATCAAAAAAATATAAAAATTAAATAAAGTTGGTTCAACACAGTGGCGGGTCATTTTGACCCTAGGACAACGGGAGGGTTAACATGTACTGCACTGACACAAATGACTGATGATTGGTTGAAAGAAATAGATAATAATAATAATAATAATAATAATAATAATATGCCATTTAGCAGACGCTTTTATCCAAAGCGACTTACAGTCATGAAGATTGTGGGAGCTGTACTGTTAGATTTCAGTGCAGCCTTTGATATTATTGACCATAACCTGTTGTTGAAAAAACGTATGTGTTATGGCATTTCAACCTCTGCCATATCGTGGATTCAGAGCTATCTATCTAATAGAACTCAAAAGGGTATTCTTTAATGGAAGCTTCTCTAATGTCAAACATGTAAAGTGTGGTGTACCGCAGGGCAGCTCTCTAGGCCCTCTACTCTTTTCTATTTTTACCAATGACCTGCCACTGGCTCAAATGTAAATGTGAATGTCTGTCCGTAATAAAGACATCTACTTTTTTGACACCACACTCCAAAAAGCAAGTCCTGCAGGATCTAGTTTTGTCTTATCTTGATTATTGTCCAGTCGTGTGGTCAAGTGCTGCAAGGAAAGACCTAGTTAAGCTGCAGCTGGCCCAGAACAGAGCAGCAAGTCTTGCTCTTCATTGTAACCAGAGGGCTGATATAAATACTATGCATGCCAGTCTCTCTTGGTTAAGAGTTGAGGAGAGACTGACTCCATCACTTCTTCTTTTTATAAGAAACATGAATGTGTTGAAAATCTCTAATTGTTTGCATAGTCAACTTACACACAGATCTAACACACACACTTACCCCACCAGACATGCCACCAGGAGTCTTTTCACAGTCCCCAAAAACAGTATTATATAGAGCCATTATTGCATGGAACTCCATTCCATCTCATATTACTCAAGTGAACTGCGAACCTGGTTTAAAAAAACAGATAAAGCAACACCTCACAGCACAACGCCTCTCCCCTATTTGACCTAGATAGTTTGTGTATGTATTGATATGTAGGCTACGTGTGCCTTTTGTATTTTTTTTTTTTTATGTAGTTCTGTCCTTGAGCTGTTGTCTATTAATGTTCTGTATTATGTCATGTTTCATGTTTCGTGTGGACCCCAGGAAGAGTAGCTGCTGCTTTTGCAACAGCTAATGGGGATCCTAATAAAATACCAAATACCAATAACAATGTGTTATGTAGCTTATAATAGGCTTGTGATACACCACATGGCCAAATGTATGTGGACACTTGCTCGTCGAACATCTCATTCCAAAATCATGGGCATTAACATGGAGTTGTTCCCCCCTTTGCTGCTATAACAGCCTCCACTCATCTGGGAAGGTTTCCACTGGATGTTCGAACATTGCTGCGGGGACTTGCTTCCATTCAGCCACAAGTTCATTACTGAGGTTGGGCACTGGTGTTGGGTGATTAGGCCTGGCTCGCAGTCTGTGTTCTAATTCATCCCAAAGGTGTTCTATGGGGTTGAGGTCAGGGCTCTGTGCAGGCCAGTCAAGTTCTTCCACACCGATCTCGACAAAACATTTCTGTATGGACCTCACTTTGTGCATGGGGGCATTGTTATGCTGAAATAGGAAATGGCCTTCCCCAAACTGTTGCCACAAAGTTGGAAGCACAGAATCGTCTAGAACGTCATTGTATGCTGTAGCGTTAAGATTTCCCTTCACTGGAACTAAGGGGCCTAGCCTGAACCATGAAAAACAGCACAAGACCATTATTCCTTTTCCACCAAACTTTACAGTTGGCACTATGCATTCGGATAGGAAGCGTTCCCCTGGCATCCGCCAAACCCAGATTCATCCGTCGGACTCCCAGATGGTGAAGCGTGATTCATCACTCCAGAGAACGCGTTTCCACTGCTCCAGAGTCCAATGGCGGCGAGCTTTACACCACTGCAGCCGACGCTTGGCATTGCGCATGGTGATCTTAGGCTTGTGTGTGGCTGCTTAGCCATGGAAACCTATTTCATGAAGCTCCCGACGAACAGTTCTTGTGCTGACGTTGCTTCCAGAGGCAATTTGGAACACGGTATTGAGTGTTGCAACCGAGAACAGACGATTTTTACGCGCTACGCGCTTCAGCACTCGGCAGTCCTGTTCTGTGAGCTTGTGTGGCCTACCACTTCACGGCTGAGCCTTTGTTGCTCCTAGACGTTTCCACTTCACAATAACAGCACTTACAGTTGACTGGGCCAGCTCTAGCAGGGCAGAAATTTGAAGACCTTACTTGTTGGAAAGGTGGCATCCTATGACGGTGCCACATTGAAAGTCACTGAGCTCTTCAGTATGGGCCATTCTACCGCCAATGTTCATCTATGGAGATTGCATGACGGTGTGCTCGATTTTATGCACCTGTCAGCAACAGGCCAAATCCAATAATTTGAAGGCGTGTCCACATACTTCTGGCCATGTGTCCTTACTAGTGTCCTTACCTCCAAGCGTTTATTCAAGTTGGATAATCTTTGGATGCTGACAGCAGTCGCACCATTGGAAGACATAGCTTGGATTGTAGCCTACAAAATCCTATTCCTGCTCTTTTCCCGCGATACATCAAACGGATATGTCATCATAGAAGAGGGCACGACAAAGCCTATTCCCCCTCAGGAGACTGAAAACATTTGGCATGGGTCCTCAGATCCTCAAAATGTTATACAGCTACACCATCGAGAGCATCCTGACTGGTTGCATCACCGCCTGGTATGGCAACTGCTCGGCCTCTGACCGCAAGGCACTACAGAGGGTAGTGCGAACGGCCCAGTACATCACTGGGGCCAAGCTTCCTGCCATCCAGGACCTCTATACCAGGCGGTCAGAGGAAGGCCCTCAAAATTGTCAAAGACTCCAGCCACCCTAGTCATAGACTGTTCTCTCTGCTACCGCACGGCAAGCGGTATCGGAGCGCCAAGTCTAGGTCCAAAAGGCTTCAACAGCTTCTACCCCCAAGCCATAAGACTCCTGAACAGCTAATCAAATGGCTACCCGGACTATTTGCACTGCACCCCCCACCCCGTCCCCCTTTTTTACTCTGCTGCTACTCTGTTTATTATTTATGCATAGTCACTTTAACTCTACCCACATGTACATATTACCTCAATTACCTCAACTAGCCAGTGCCCCCGCACATTGACTCTGCACCGGTACCCTCCTGTATATAGCCTCCCTAAAGTTATTTTATTTTACTGCTGCTCTTTAGTTATTTGCTTTTATTTTTTTTGCTTAACACTTTTTTTATTTGTTTTACTTTGCATTGTTGGTTAAGGGCTTGTAAGTAAGCATTTCACTGTAATGTCTACACCTGTTGTATTCGGCGCATGTGGCATTTATTTTTGGATTTGATTTGATTTTTCAGTGGCAAGTCTGGCATTATGAGCGGGCCGCCTTAGGGGGCCCACCTACCGCACCTCCTTGCCCATCCAAATAAAATATTGATCATTTATTTGACCAAGACACGCGCGGACAGAAAGACGCGTGAATCTCAGTTAAAGCATCCGAGCGAGACAGCGTCCCTCAGTCTGAGTATGTGTAGATCATGTATCTGATGCTGTCTGGACCAAAACAGTATGGCATATCATACTATACTGAACAAAAATATAAACGCAACATGTAAAGTGTTGGTTTCATGAGCTGAAATAAAAGATCCCAGAAAAAGCTTATCTCTCTCAAATTTTGTGCACAAATATGTTTACATCCCTGTTAGTGAGCATTTCTCCTTTGCCAATATAATCCATCCACCTGACAGGTGTGGCATATCAATAAGCTGAATAAAAAACAGCATGATCATTACACAGGTGCACCTTGTGCTGGGGACAATAAAAGGCCACTCTAAAATGTGCAGTTTTGTCACACAACACAATGCCACAGATGTCGTCGTTTGAGAGAATTTGGCAGTACGTCCAACCGGCCTCACAATCGCAGACCATGTGTAACCACGCCAGCCCAGGACCTCCACATCTGGCTTCTTCACCTGCGAGATCATCTGAGACCAGCCACCCCGACAGCCGATGAAACTGAGGAGTATTTCTGTCTGTAATAAAGCCCTTTTGTGGGGAAATACTAATTAATTCTGAATGGCTGGGCCTGGCTCCCCAGTGGGTTGGCCTGGCTCCCAAGTGGGTGGGCCTATGCCATCCCAGGCCCACCCATGGCTGTGCCCATGCCCAGTCATGTGAAATCCAGAGATTAGGGCCTAATTTATTTATTTCAATTGACTGATTTCCTTCTATGAACTGTAACTCAGTAAAATCTTTGAAATTGTTGCATGTTGCGTTTATATATATTTTCAGTATATTTCTGTCCAGACAACATCAGATACATGGGCTACATATAGAGGGGGGCTGTTTCGCTTGCTCAGATACTTTCTCCAGTGACATAGTTTCAGTAGAGAGGAAGAGGCGAAGCGAGAGGGCTCACTCTCACCAACATTTGTGCAGAATAAGCCCATTGTGTTTCTATGGGCATAATTTGCAGACTTAAGCTTGTCACCTGCCTTCCCATCTTTGGGACAAAGACTCCCATTGTTAGGGCGGAGACATCATCTCGTCATTATATACAGATCTCTGGTTTCAGCCTCTTGCGAATTGGAAAGAAAGTTGGCGGGTGCACAGTGCACTCTTAGGGTGCTGGATTTCCCTAAAGTATATTGATAGGCTATAGTTACTCATGTCTAAATAATATTCAAAATACTTCACCAGGGAGCATGACTTAGACACAGAGGATCATTAGCTTATTTTTTTTATAAATAGCTGTGGATTGTTTCAAATCACAAGTGTATAGGCCTATGCATATTTGGGAAGCAATAGGTCTAGCTGATTGAGTTGCGGCTTTCAGTGATAAGCATCTAAAATATGTGTGAAGAGAATGTGTCTTGAGTATAATTTAAAATGTTGCAACAAGAAGAAAGGGAAGGGTGTGTGGACAAAGATATGCCATGTCTCTCTCCAGAATGCTCAGCTCTTCAGAATGCACTCAGCTGTCTCCCGCCAATTCTTGAGCATTCATTGTTTCATTGTGTGAATTGTTTGCCCTTTGATTGTTTATTTTTTTTAACCAATTTCCCATTACATACAGTTGAAGTCGGAAGTTTACATACACTTAGGTTGGAGTCATTAAAACTTGTTTTTCAACCACTCCACAAACTTCTTGTTAACAAACTATAGTTTTGGCAAGTCGGTTAGGACATCTACTTTGTGTATGACACAAGTAATTTTTCCAACAATTGTTTACAGACAGATTATTTCACTTATAATTCACTGTATCACAATTCCAGTGGGTCAGAAGTTTAAATACACTAAGTTGACTGTGCCTTTAAACAGCTTGGAAAATTCCAGAAAATGATGTCATGGCTTTAGAAGCTTCTCATAGGCTAATTGACATCATTTGAGTCAATTGGAGGTGTACCTGTGGATGTATTTCAAGGCCTACCTTCAAACTCAGTGCTTCTTTGCTTGACGTCATGGGAATATCAAAAGAAATCAGCCAAGACCTCAGAAAAATAATTGTAGACCTCCACAAGACTGGTTCATCCTTGGGAGCAATTTCCAAATGCCTGAAGGTACCACGTTCATCTGTACAAACAATAGTACGCAAGTATAAACACCATGGGACCACGCAGCCATCATACCGCTCAGGAAGGTGACGCGTTCTGTCTCCTAGAGATGAATGTACTTTGGTGCGAAAAGTGCAAATCAATCCCGGAACAACAGCAAAGAACCTTGTGAAGATGCTGGAGGAAACGGGTACAAAAGTATCTATATCCACAGTAAAACGAGTCCTATATCGACATAACCTGAAAGGTCGCTCAACAAGGAAGAAGCGACTGCTCCAAAACCGCCATTAAAAAGCCAGACTACGGTTTGCAACTGCACATGGGGACAAAGATCATACTTTTTGGAGAAATGTCCTCTGGTCTGATGAAACAAAAATAGAACTGTTTTTCCATAATGACCATCGTTATGTTTGAAGGAAAAAGGGGGGGGCTTCCCAACCGTGAAGCACGGGTGTGGCAGCATCATGCTGTGAGGGTGCTTTGCTGCAGGAGGGACTGGTGCACTTCACAAAACAGATGGTATCATGAGGAAGGAAAATTATGTGGATATATTGAAGCAACATTTCAAGTTAAAGCTTGGTCGCAAATGGGTCTTCCAAATGGACAATGACCCCAAGCATACTTCCAAAGTTGTGGCAAAATGGCTTAAGGACAACAAAGTCAAGGTATTGGAGTGGCCATCACAAAGCCCTGACCTCAATCCTATAGAACATTTGTGGGCAGAAATCAAAGGCCCGTCCAACTGATTCGTTCTGGTGCCGGCCCTGCATAGTGGTCTCTGACTTGTGGTGAGACTTGCTCAGCCAGAACAAAACTTGTGCCTTTTTTCAATGCTGATTTGAATGTCATTAAGAAAACAGAAAGCTGTCAAATATTTTTGGGGCAAACATCATTTCTGAATTTAAAAGTAATCCTAGAAGTAATCGTTTTTAAAAAGTTTCTGTAATCTGATTACAATATTTTTGTTGGAAATGTAACGGATTACGTTTACAGTTTTTTTTGTAATTCCTTACTCCGCAACCCGGCTAATTAGAAAATATTTTTCCTTAATATAGACCCAAATAACAGTTTGCCACTGGAGGGAATGCTGAAGGTCCTTGTATATCTTTGTAATTAGTAACACCAACTACATACAATGTAGGCCTCTATTCAATCCATATGGTGGAAATTCAGCATCACAGTTTGATTGAAATTTAAAGGCAATGTTCCCGCGACATGCTACATGCAGTAAACGCTGCATAGGCCTACAGGTATGTTGTCTCAATCTGAAATTGCCTTTACATTTCTAGTTTGCAATCTGTAACACATTAGCGATACAGATTGAGTAGAGCCCTTAGGTAAACATGTTATAGTTGTTGACTTTCTAGTACTTACCCACGGGCACAGACATCAGTTCAACGTCTAGTTGTCAACTAATGTGAAATCAACCAAAAATATCACCCTGTAATTGGATTTAAATTAAAAGCTGTGTGAAAGGAATATGAAATTCTCTTATGTTGGTGACTTTGCAAATCCAACCAGTTTTCCACGTTGATTCAACGTCATCCCATTACATATTTTGGTTGAAATGACGTGGAAACTTTTTGGATTGAACCAGTTTTTGCCCAATGGGTACTTACTTTTTGTTTGCATAGATATCTAAAAATTTCCAAAACATGTCACTACAACTCCACTCATCACTATTGGGAAGAGCCAATTTGCTTGCCCTAAGAACTTTAAACAATGCATAAAATGTTTTGCAGTATAAAGACTTCATTGATCATCATTGATCAACTTTTCAATATAAACAAAAACATGTATGATGTGTAACTATTTCTCATTTTAAAGTGTTTTTCATGGTTGCAAAGGGACGCAAATGACACCGCAATTCAAGAACGACCTTGTAGCCACTCTAGACTGTTTAAACTTGTCTAACCTTTTACCGACATCATAGCTGATTTGCATATTGGTGGAAATTACGTTAAACTTTTCTCTAGGCAAAAGCCAAGCCCTGGTTTTAGGCTACTTGACATTTAAATGTTTCATAAGAGGAGACACACACACCTTAAATCCTGGAGGGCTTGGTTCATGAATTCATTGGTTTTGACATGTCTTACCCGACATATCAGGACAGATTCAAATCTCCAAAGACAAACACACTGCAGGTGTCTGGTATATTCCTGGAGGCATAATGCATACCCTCTCTCTCTCTCGCGCTCTCGCTTTTCTCTCTCTCTTCTCTCTCTAGACCAGGAGATATTGAGGCGTCTGGAGAAAGACAAGATCCTGGTGTTCACTCCGTCTCGTCGGGTCCAGGGCCGCCGTGTGGTCTGCTATGACGACCGCTTCATCGTCAAGCTGGCCTACGAGTCCGACGGCATCATCGTCTCTAATGACAACTACCGGGACCTGGCCAATGAGAAGCCAGAGTGGAAGAAGTTCATTGACGAGCGGCTGCTCATGTACTCATTCGTCAATGACAAGTAAGGTCCCATCAAGCCTATAACTATTAGTATCTGGAGTTGTTTTTCCAGGGGGATTGATATGTGGATGTTGAGTGGTTATCTGACAGTGTGTCTGGTATGTGGTTGTGTGTCCAGGTTCATGCCTCCTGATGATCCTCTGGGTCGCCATGGTCCCAGTCTGGAGAACTTCCTGAGGAAGAGACCAGTGATCCCAGAACACAGGAAGCAGCCCTGCCCCTATGGTAACACCTAGCCATCCTCTCTTATACATTATTCATCCAGCCTCCTCTGGCTTGTCTCATGATTGAGAGTTAACCACCCTGTATTCTCTAAAGGGAAGAAGTGTACTTACGGCCACAAGTGTAAGTTCTACCACCCTGAGAGAGGCAGTCAGCCCCAGCGCTCTGTGGCCGACGAGCTGCGTGCCAGTGCTAAGAACTCCTCTTCCTCCTCCACATCTTCCTCCAAGAGCCTGGGCAAGGCTCTGCTGGTGAAGAGCCACAGCATGTCCAGTCGCTCCAGTGCAGATGGGCTCCCAGACCCCCACCTAGCTGCCCCAAAGAGGCGGTCGGACCCCGGCCTGTGCACGCCCTCCTACAACAACCTCCTGGAGGAGCGGCTGGGCGGGAGGACCAAAGCAGAGGCCCGCAGAGGGAGTAGCAGCAGTAGTAGCAGCAGCTGTAGCAGCAGCCTCCTGGTCCCTGCCCCTGGGGGTCCTCCTTCCAGCCAAGGCTTCTCTCTGCAGGATTGGAGGGACCACAACGCAGGGAGAAACGGCTCCTGCAGAGCTCCAAGTCTGTTGGGGCTTGGTCATTCTGAGTCGTATCCCAGCTGTGAGTCCCCAGAGCTGGGCTGCAACTCCCTGATGAGGGCCTACTCCAGCCTAAGCCTGGTAGTGCCACGGAGCCCCGAGCGGCTGTTCCCGGCTGACCTACGGACGGGCTTGCTGGCATCTGACTGCAGCAGCGAGGGCAGCATGAGCTCTGACTCCTTCTCCCCTGACCCCCTGCTGGAGGATGGCATCAAATGCCACCACCCCCATCACCACCACAATCACTGCCCCAGCCGCTACCCACACCACCCCAACCACCCGCCGCCTGGTCTGACCCAGCACCCACATGGAGGCTCCCACCATAGCTACCCCCTAGCTCAGAGCATTGGGAGGCCACAGGGCTTCAGCTTGGAGGATCCTCCCTCCTCCTTCCACTACTTCAAGGCCCATCTCACCTACCTTCCTCCCCATCTTCAGCACCCGTCTGTGGGGAGCAGCTCTGGCTGTTCTGAGGACTATCCTCCCCAACCTCCACCCCAGAACTCCAGCCCCCACTCCCACTGTCACAGCTCAACTCTGGGGCATAACCCGGGGGGCTCCACCTGGCAGGACAACAACAGCCTCCAGGACTCCCAGCTCTACGAGCGCTCCCCTGTCCACCCCAGAAGGACCTACCCTTGGCCGGGACAGGAGCAGTGGCTGGCCAGCTGGGACCCCCACTACCAGCAGCCCCCCCAGCCCTGCTACGAGCCCTTCACCTTCCAGTCCCAGCCTGAGGGCCACGAACAACCCTGGCACTCGCCCTGGCCCAGGGGGACACACTTGCCCCATCCTCAACCCCCTTCCTCCTCCCATCCTCCACCCCAACCCTCCATGGCCCCCCAGCACCAGGGGGGAAGATACCAGGACGTGAGGGATAAGGTGTTTGTCAACCTGTGTAACATCTTTCCCCAAGAGCTGGTGAAGGTGGTGATGGGGAGGAACCCCCATGTGATGGACGCCCAGCAGCTGGCTGCAGCCATCCTGGCTGAGAAGTCCCAGGCTTGCTACTGAGTACTGACACTACTGTAGTAGAGGAAAGAAGTGGTGTGCCCAACTCTATAGTCTTCCCAAAACGTCTACGATGCAGGGGGAGATGTTTTATTTTTTACATTTAATTATATTTTTTAAGGAAAATCCGAGCTACCTTATTGTTGTTCGTTACTGTTGTGCGGTATGAGACCACTTCAAGCACTTATGGTCAGGATTGTTTATGGTGGGTGGGTAGGAGTGAACATGTGTGTCAGTGTTATTTCAGGAGACTCTTTGAATGGGATGTGTTGCTTTAATTAATTAATTTAGTATGTTTTAAATTATTTATATTGTTTTATATTTTGTTATGGCACTTTCCGTTGCTTTTTTCTCAACATTTTACATTTTTGTCAATCATATGATAGGGGGGCTCAAGTGTTTCAGGGTGCTTCAGGGTTAGGGAAAATCCTGAGGTGTCAAGATGGGGTGAATTCTGGGATTCCAAATCTAAGGTATGGTTTGTCGTCATTAAAATGTTACTTTCAAACTAAAAGACTAAGCAAATGCATAAATGTAAGCTACATTGATTTAGCTGTATCCCTGTAATTTGTACATTGAAGGTTTGTAAAAGCAGGTGGTGAATTGAATAGCGTTGTTGAAAGATTTGATGAATTTCCCCTTTAGAGAAGTGAAACGCAGGAACTCCAGCTGTTAAAGGCCTGGTAAAGTCCATGTGAAAACCCCAGAGCATTGTTTACTCTGACAGACCGGAGCTAGTTCGTCTCTTGGGAGAGCTCTGAAGCTTACTTCACAGCTTGGGAGATTGCGATATAGATTTTTTTTTTATCACTTATTTTTGGTCCTCCAAAAACCATTCTGGTCATTGAAATCATATCCAGATGGTTATTGAGGATATGCAAACTAGTGCAGGTGCACTGTTTATCTTACAATTTTTATTTAAACATATGAATATGTTAATTTATTATTGTCCCTTTGTCATTTTCGTTATGTGTGAGAGTATTTTAGTTGAAGGGGGTCTCCGTTGCTAGGGTTTCATTACAAGAGACGTCAGGTGTAAACATCCATCCAGACAGACAGATGGTGCTGTACTGTAACTGTCTGTGTACTTCAGTCTGTGGACAAGGTAATTCTAGCCTCTACCTCCTGGTTTAGAATCCATTGCAAGTTGCCACAATCTCTCAGTGAATAGGAATAGTTAGGCAATGACACCTCTGTGTTGGGAAATGCCTTGCTCACACACAGCAGGGACTACATCTACCAGTTACAGTCCAAAACACTGGACTTGTGTTGCCAAGGTAACCTGACTGCCACAAACTTTAGTGGCCAAGAGAATCCCTCTCCTTGTTGATACAAATTGTATCCTATTAACTTAAACCAGATCATTGTTTTATATGAGAATATGTATACAAAAAGTATTTTGAGTTTTATGTGCCGTAATTGGTCACATTTGTTACTGTTCTAAAATATATTTTGGGAAATTGTTGTGTTTTTTAAAGAATTATTTGGGAAAGAAAAGGCATCAAATGCAATTTCTTCCAACTACTGTACTGTGAGTGGTGATCAGCAGACAGAGAGGACAGAAAATATGGGTTGTTTTATTATCATTGAACTGAAAGTGTGTTTTCTCATTGGGTGGTCACAAGCTAACTGAGGTCACAGTCATGTGAGTGTGACTGTGGGGGTCAGCTTTATGGTGAAGCAGATAATTTTTTCTTCCCCATCAGCCCCTATTGATGGTCATGATCTTTCACTTAACTTGTTTCTGTACCGTGGTTTTCAGCTCTCTCTTCAAACTAAGCCTATCCCTTCGGAGGATCAGTGGAACACTGCTGACTTGACAAAGACAATACTTACTCTCTGGAACCAGTTTCTCAACATGACAACAGCTAAAAGGTTAAAATATGTTTTTTTGTACATTTAAGAAACCATGTCCATTCACACAGTAGTACTACATGGCAAGTCACTCAATGAAAGTGTTCTTTTCTGGTCCCCTGAGTTGGTTGGCATATTGGCATTGAGCTGAGCAAGCATGCAACGTTGTGACCGAATAAAACTGCCACCCAAGACTTGACGTCTAGCACCTTTCTAAAAAAAGAGCCTTCTCCGTAGCTGCAGGGCACTGTGTGCCAGTGTGTGCCAGTGTGGGCAGAGTAGTAAATGCCTCTACATGACATTGTGCTTTTTAAACACATCCGATGATAGTCTGAACCATGTTCAGTTAAACATTTATTTTTCCACGACCTGATTTTTTAAAGAGGTGTTTTTGGAATAATTTGTGATGTATTTCTGGGGGGGTTTGGGGGGTTTTCCTCACTGTCACTGGATATGTACTATACTGTACCGTTCACATTTTGTTTAATGAAACACCCTTTAATGAGGTGAGGTTCAGTTTGAAGACAGTGTATGTATATGTGCTGGGTTTTGGATGTAGTACTGGGTTGAATTTCTTCCACCATGGACATTTTTTGGTCATTTTGGAATTTGGATCTTAATTGGTTTTATGTCATTTGGTCTGACTGGTTGACTTACTATTCTATTTGACTGCTAACTGTTTGTTTATTTTTTACAGTCTGTATCCAGGGCCTACAATTCAAGTAAAAAATATATAGATTTTAATGTGTCAAACTTCTCCCATGTCAAGTATAATTTATTTTCATATTCATCACTGCTGTGCTTTAAATCCAACAATTTGTGCTACAATAAAACTGTTAAATATAATAAATGTCTTAAAAATAAGGTTGGGATGCAGTATTCTGTCAGGGACCAAAGCAATTGGCAAAATGATTGAGGGTTAGCGTATGTTTTTGTATTATAATGCTCCTTTCGTCACAGGTCAACATGGGTCATTTCAAGCTAAAATGGAATCTGGGAAATGGAGAACAAGAACTGTGACCTGATGTTGATGTTCTTGCTTCAGTGACTGTACTGTATGTGAATGGGAGGAAACACATGTTACAACAATGAGCTTTAGGTACTGGAACCCCAGAGCATGTGACTCTCTATGAAACTCTGGCCTGTAGCAGACTTACAGTTGAAGTCGGAAGTTTACAAACACTTAGGTTGGAGTCATTCAAACTTGTTTTTCAACGACTCCACCATTAATTTTTTTAACAAACTATAGTTTTGGCAAGTCGGTTAGGACATCTACTTTGTGCATGACACAAGTAATTTTTCCAACAATTGTTTACAGACAGATTATTTCACTTATAATTCACTGTATCACAATTCCAGTGGGTCAGAAGTTTACATACACTAAGTTGACTGTGCCTTTAAACAGCTTGGAAAATTCCAGAAAATGATTTTTTTTTAGAAGCTTCTGATAGGCTAATTGACATCAATTGAGTCAATTGGAGGTGTACCTGTGGATGTATTTCAAGGCCTACCTTCAAACTCAGTGCTTCTTTGCTTGACATCATGGGAATATCAAAAGAAATCAGCCAAGACCTCAGAAAAATAATTGTAGACCTCCACAAGTCTGGTTCATCCTTGGGAGCAATTTCCAAACGCCTGAAGGTACCACGTTCATCTGTACAAACAATAGTACGCAAGTATAAACACCATGGGACCACGCAGCCGTCATACCGCTCTGGAAGGAGACGCGTTCTGTCTCCTAGAAATGAACGTACTTTGGTGCGAAAAGTGCAAATCAATCCCAGAACAACAGCAAAGGACCTTGTGAAGATGCTGGAGGAAACGGGTACAAAAGTATCTATATCCACAGTAAAACGAGTCCTATATCAACATAACCTGAAAGGCCGCCCAGCAAGGAAGAAGCCACTGCTCCAAAACCGCCATAAAGCCAGACTACGGTTTGCAACTGCACATGGGGACAAAAATCTTACTTTTTGGAGAAATGTCCTCTGGTCTGATGAAACAAAAATAGAACGGTTTGGCCATAATGACCATCGTTATGTTTGGAGGAAAAAAGAGGTTGCTTGCAAGCCGAAGAAGACCATCCCAACCGTGAAGCACGGGGGTGGTAGCATCATGCTGTGGGGGTGCTTTGCTGCAGGAGGGACTGGTGCACTTCACAAAATAGATTGCATCATGAGGAAGGAAGATTATTTGGATATATTAACATCACAAGACATCAGTCAGGAAGTTAAAGCTTGGTCGCAAATGGGTCTTCCAAATGGACAATGACCCCAAGCATACTTCCAAAGTTGTGGCAAAATGGCTTAAGGACAACAAAGTCAACGTATTGGAGTGGCCATCACAAAGCCCTGACCTCAATCCTATAGAAAATGTGTGGGCAGAACTGAAAAAGCGTGTGCGAGCAAGGAGGCCTACAAACCTGACTCAGTTACACCAGCTCTGTCAGGAGTAATGGGCCAAAATTCACCCAACTTATTGTGGGAAGCTTGTGGAAGGCTACCCAAAACGTTTGACCCAAGTTAAACAATTTAAAGGCAATACTACCAAATACTAATTGAGTATATGTAAACCTCTGACCCACTGGGAATGTGATGAAAGAAATAAAAGCTGAAATAAATCATTCTCTCTACTATTATTCTGACATTTCACATTCTTAAAATAAAGTGGTGATCCTAACTGACCTAAGACAGGAAATGTTTACTAGGATTAAATGTCAGGAATTGTGAAAAACTGAGTTTAAATGTATTTGGCTAAGGTGTATGTAAATTTTCGACTTCAACTGTACATGCCGATTCAGGGAACAGTGGCCAAATGTGATACAGCGCCTTCGGAAAGTATTCAGACCTCTTGATATTTTCCACATTTTGTTAGGTTACAGCCTTATTCTAAAATTGATTCAATTGTTTTTTTCCCTCATCAATCTACACACAATACCCCATAATGACAAAGCAAAAACTGTTTTTTAGAACGGTTTGCTCATTTATAAAAAAATATATATATATAAAAAGGATGACATTTACATACGTTTTCAGACCCTTTACTCAGTACTTTGTTGAAGCACCTTTGGCAGCGATTACAGCCTCAAGTCTTCTTGGGTATGACGCTACAAGCTTGGCACACCTGTATTTGGGGAGGTTCTCCCATTCTTCTCTGCAGATCCTCTCAAGCTCTGTCAGGTTGGATGGGGAGCGTTGCTGCACAGCTATTTTCAGGTCTCTCCAGAGATGTTCGATCGGGTTCAAGTCTGGGCTCTGGCTGGGCCACTCAAGGACATTCAGAGATTTGTCCCGAATCCACTCCTGCATTATCTTGGCTGTGTACTTAGGGTCATTGTCCTGTTGGAAGATCAACCTTCGCCCCAGTCTGAGGTCCTGAGCAGGTTTTCATCAAGGATCTCTCTGTACTTTGCCCCATTCATCTTTCCCTCAATCCTGACTAGTCTCCCAGTCCCTGCCGCTGAAAAACATCCCCACAGCATCATGCTGCCACCCCCATGCTTCACCGTAGGGATGGTGCCAGGTTTCCTCCAGACGTGACGCTTGGCATTCAGGCCAAAGAGTTCAATTATGGTTTCATCAGACCAGAGAATCTTGTTTCTCATGGTCTGAGAGTCTTTAGGTGCCTTTTGGCAAACTCCAAGCAGGCTGATTAATAATAGAGCAATAAAGCCCTACTCAAGCTTTCAGATGGTGACAATGTGTCTTCTTTTTTGGGATGGGATGGGTGTGCTGCCAAAATGGTGCTCAGGTTCATTTAGATAGGATGTTGATGAGGCAATGTGTATCATGTGATAATGATATTTCAATGCTCTGGGGCATGTCAGACAAAGTGTATTGTAGCCTACAGTGAATGGGAAAATAATAGTAATTAACTAATTCATTTAAATAACACTTAAGAAGCTTGTCATGTCAACGTCATTGTTTTGATAATAATGGTAGACTTTACTCTACCTTTAAATGTCAAATCGAATAGGCCTACCTCAAATATTTTTTCTTTCTTCAAATATACTATTTTTTCCCCCCATAAACATTGTCATACTGAAAAGAATGTCTGAAGATGATGCGTACATAAATCAACTCTGAAATTTAAAATCAAACAGATGTTACATTTACTGTGGTGATAAAGTTGAATGAATAACCTATAATGTGTCGTCATCTTTCTACAACACTATATGAAAGGTAATACTCTGGAAAGGTTACTACATTACATTTTATTTAATTGTTTTAATGTTTTTAACTAATGATGAATGGGTTCAAAGTTGTAACTCAAGATGATAAAGGTTAGCAAAGTACATTATTGTACATACTGTACGTTGGTTGACATTTAAGGATAAAACAATTGACATTTACAATTTAATAACTGGTTATTTCCTTCAGGAGAAACAACACCAGTTGTAAATTCAAGGAGGTGGCAGACTGATCATTCCTTACATAACCTTGATTTAGAAAAACAACGGTTTTATGGTTATTTTCTTTTTCCCATTCTTACATGTCTGGAAGGTGATGAATCTGGAATGTTCAAAATAAACAGTTCCTCATATCACTCCATCCATATAATATTGGACTGCTGCTTCCCTCCCATTCGGTTTTACCTCATTTAACCTGGGGATGAACACCTTGACTGACTGGAAGTAAGAAATATACATGGAATCTTTATTGTTAACCAAAATAAATAAATGGTAAACGCTTCAATGGATGATAAAATGACACAAAGGTATAGGTCAGAAGGGACAGATAAAACGCTGTTGCCAAATTCTGGAGGAATTAAACCACTGGTTCAACATCAGCTGACCCATGACTGACTAGAGCACAGCTAACTCACCAAAGTTAAATATGAAGCCAAAATGAAATGATGGAAATGAAATCAGACATAAGGCTGTTTTGTTAAAAAATTAAACTATTTAAATTCTTCAACTGATGGCAAACAAAAAAGGTACGTTATTTAAAGCTTTACATACAAGCTTGCCAGCAACATCAAAAAGCTACAAATTGCTATTTTTCTCTCTCAATAAAAGCAAGATATCAACCAATTTCTCTATCCATTCTCTTTTTTTTATCCATTCTTACATCAGACATGCAAGCATTAAATTATCCTTTGCTCATGGAGAAGTTCGTTTTGACAGTTTGTTGCTTGCCATTCCAGATTAGGCGATTCCAGACGTGGTTGGGCAGAACTCTAAGCATGGAGCAGTTTGATTGGCCAACCGCTAGTGGGCAGAGCTTTGGCAAGGCATAGTTGGCGGGACATTGGATCCACACAACTGGCCTTTTTGAAGGTAGGGATTTGGGGGAATGAGACGGGAACGGGCAGGTTCGGCTGTACACAAAAGTGAGCCGTTGTCGTGGCAATGCAAGGGTGGGAGGGCGAGGTCTCTCACATGGACTCGAACTCGTCGATGCGCTGCTTGGTGTTGCCCTGGCGGATCTGACGCAGGGTCTTGTACTTGTCCCTCCCAGCCTTCACGTTCTCCGCATGAAGCATGTCATTCTGGGTCTTCTTGGTGTCGTCCCTCGCCTGGGCCAACTCTGAACTCAGAGCCTGACAGAGGGAGAGGGGAAGAGAGAGGACACTTAATTTTGATAGTTGCAGACAGATTGTGTATAGTTCAACAAATTATCAGCAAACTGTTGATCCACTAACCCAAACAATAGTCCTAGGCCTAACCATAACCCTAACATTTTTTTGCAGTTGATATCTTGTTGATAGTTTGAGCCTCTAGGGCAGGGGTGTCAAACTCATTTTAGCTCAGGGGCCACATGGAGGAAAATCTATTCCCAAGTGGGCCGGACCGGAAAAATCATGGTATATATAACTTAAAAACAACAACTTCAGATTGTTTTCTTTGTTTTAATACGATCAACATACAACATAAAGCTGGAGCCTGAGGACAGTGTGTCCAAAATAGTACAAGCACAACATCACTATTAATCATAAAACACGTCAAGTTTATTTGAAAATTCTAAAGAAAAAGAACACACAAACACACAATGCCTCAGTGATTAACAGAACTGTTTCACAGATCACAGAACTATATCAGGGTGTCATTTCTCAGGCAGAAATGTAGATAAAAATAATGAAATCCTGTTCCCCAAACAAGTGCAAGAACCACAGAGTCAAGAATAGGTTAAATATACAAATAAAATAAAATCAATTAAAAACAATAGCACATCAACATAAAAACATATAAATATAAATCTGAAAGCGTTGCTCAAACTCCCGTAACAGTCCAGTTATTTTATCTTTGAACCGCTTCATGTCTGCCACATGTTGGGTCGCGCACACATTTTTCAGACAGGGGAAGTGAGCTGCATCACCACCGGCAAGTTGCGTCTCCCACAATGACAGCTTCAACTTGAAAGAACGTATGCTGTCATAATACTGCGTGACAACTTTGTTGCGCCCTTGTAGCTGTTTGTTCAAGTTATTCAGGTGCTCTGTAACATCCACCATAAATGCAAGGTCCGGCATCCATTCTGCGGAATGAAATTCTAACACTGGTTTGCCCTTTTCTTCCATGAACTGTTCAATTTCTTCTCGTAAATCAAAGAAACGCCTCAGCACAGCACCTCGGCTTAACCATCTTACCTCAGTGTGGTATGGCAGGCCATAGATGTGGTCTTTCTCTCTGAGAAGGCTGTCAAACTGACGGTGATTCAGGCTTCTGGATCGGATGAAATTAACAGTTTGGATGACCACCTTCATGACGTTATCCATCTTTAATGACTTGCAACACAAAGCCTCCTGGTGCAAAATACAGTGAAAAGTAAAAAAATCACGTCCTCCATTTGCAGATTGCACTTTCTCTCTGAACTTTGTCACAACGCCTGCTTTTTTCCTGATCATTGAGGGCGCACCATCTGTAGCCAGGCTGACAGCGCGGGACCAGTCCACTCCGACCCTGTCCAGCGCGCCGACAAGTGCGGTAAAAATATCAGCTGCTGTCGTTGTATCTGTCATCGGCACCAACTCCACGAACTCCTCGGTGACGGTCAATGTGTCATCAACTCCGCGGATGAAAAAATGGCCAGTTGTGCAACATCTGTAATGTCCGTGCTTTCATCAATTGCAACCGAAAACGCAATAAATGACTTTACTTTTTGCTTCAACTGGCTGTCCAAATCCACTGAAAGATCGGAAATCCTGTCTGCAACTGTGTTTCTTGTCAGGCTGATATTTGCAAAAGCCTGCCGCTTTTCAGGGCACACAATCTCCGCTGCCTTCATCATGCATGTTTTTACAAATTCACCCTCACTAAATGGTTTTGAAGCCACTGCGATTTCATTAGCAATGAGGTAGCTAGCTTTCACTGCAGCGTCACTGATGTCTCGGCTGTGAGTAAACACAGACTGCTGTTTCTTCAGACCCGCCAACAGTTCATTCACCTTCTCTCATCTCCGCTGTCCTTGAAAGTTGTCATATTTGTCGGCATGAAGACTCACATAGTGGCGACGAAGGTTATATTCTTTCAGCACTGCAACATGCTCTGAACACACCAAACATACAGCTTTCCCATTCAATTCCGTGATTAAATAGGATGACCATTTTTCTTGGAACACTCTGCGTCCACTTTTCTCTTTTTTGACAGAGACATATTGGGGCAATGAGGGTGCCAAAGCACATAATGTTAAAAGTAGAAGCCGTAATAAATATCGCGGGAAAAACAAAGTAGCTCATTGGCTGCACGTGCTTGACCTACTTGCTCTGCCCCGGTATAAACAGTTTGCTTGCTTAACACAATTGCTATTGCGCCATCCAGTGGACGCAATTGGAACAGCAGTTTATTTTATTGAAAAATTGCAGCGCATTTTTATACTTAAAAAAAAAAAAAAAAAAAAAGATTTTATTTTTTATTTTTTTCCAAAATCATCTCGCGGGCCGGATTAAACCCGTTTGCGGGCCTGATCCGGCCCGCGGGCCGTACGTTTGACACCCCTGCTCTAGGGGTCTATCCACCCTAATGGCGTCTCAGGCTCTGCACACTCCTGGATTGCATTTTACCTGGCAGGTCACTCCTACCAGGCGGCGTGGAGAGGATCTGTGTCTGCACCACGTGCTCTCACTACTGGTGTCTCTAGGCCCTCTCCTCTTTTCTCTTTACACCAAGTCTCTCGGCTCCGTCATATCCTCACATGCTCTCTCCTATAATTGCTATGCGGATAACACTCAACTACTTTCTGCTTCCCCCCTTCTGACACCCAGGTGGCAACACGGACCTCTGCATGCCTGGTAGACATCTCAGCTTGGATGTCGGCCCACCACCTCAAGCTCAACAAAACAGAGCTGCTCTTCCTCCCGGGAAAGGCCTGCCCGCTCCAAGACCTCTCCATCACGGTTGACAATTCCACGGTGTCCCCCTCCCAGAGTGCAAAGAACCTTGGCGTGACCCTGGAAAACACCCTGTCGTTCTCTGCAAACATCAAAGCAGTGACTCGCTTCTGCAGGTTCATACTCTTCAACATCCATAGAGTACAACCTTTCTTCACATAGGAAGCAGCGCAAGTCCTAATTCAGGCACTTGTCATCTCCCATCTAGACTACTGAAACTCTCTGTTGACTGGGCTCCCCGCTTGTGCCATCAAAGCCCTGCAACTTATCCAGAATGCCGCAGCCCACCTGGTGTTCAACCTTCCTAAGTTCTCCCATGTCACCCCGCTCCTTCGCACAATCCACTGGCTTCCAGTCGAAGCTCGCATCATCTTCAAGACCCTGGTGCTTGCTTACGGAGCAGCAAGGGGAACTGCACCTCCCTACCTTCAGGCTATGCTCAAAACCCTACACCCAAACCCGAGCACTCCATTCCGCCACCTCTGGTCTCTTGGCCCTCCGAGCCCTACGGGAGGGCAGCTCCCGCTCAGCCCAGTCCAAGCTCTTCTCTGTCCTGGCTCCCCGATGGTGGAACAAGCTTTCCCCTAAAGTCAGGACAGCGGAGCCCCTGCCCATCTTTAGAAAACATCTGAAACCCTACCTCTTTGAAGAGTATCTTAAATAACTCTCACGGCGCCCCTGACACCCCCCACATAAAAAAATAAAAACTTGCACTGACTTTGCTAATAAATACTTTGAGGAAAAATGTACACGATACGATTGTAATAAATAATAATAAAGGCCATTTAGCAGACGCTTTTATAAAAATAAAAAATAAATTACGTATGGGTGGTCCCGGGAATCAAACCAACTATCCTGGCTTTGCAAGAGCCATGCTCTACCAACTGAACTACAGATGACCATTGTAATGTGTTGTTGTCTCACCTAGCCATCTTATGATGAATGCACTAATTGTAAGTCGCTCTGGAGAGAGCGTCTGCTAAATGATTAAAATGTAAAATGTAAGTAAGGCCACGTCTTCCTTAGCCTACCTGCAGCTGTTCCTTGACGCGTTCGTTCTTCTGGGCCTCTGTGACACGTTCCTCCTCTCTGCGGTGGCTGGTGACCCCATCACTGTGCAGCTCGGTGCTGCCCTCAGCATTTGTCTCATCCTGCTCATCCTGCTCTGGCGCCGGGGGTGATGACATCACAGACTTCAGCTCCTCTTTAGTCTTCTCCAGGTCCTCCTGGGCTGAGATGGCCTAGTGGGGAGGGGGGAGGTTAATGTATATACACAAAGACAGGGACATCTGTATTTAAAGGTAATGCAAGTGTAGGGCCTGAGCAGGCCAGAGACTTGTAAAAAGCAATAAAAACACACGTACTAAAGTAGCGGGTTAACATGCAAATAAAGGACAGACACACACATTTTACATTTTAGTCATTTAGCAGACGCTCTTATCCAGAGCGACTTACAGTTAGTGAGTGCATACATTTTCATACTTTTGTCATACTGGCCCCCCGTGGGGATCGAACCCACAACCCTGGCGTTGCAAACGCCATGCTCTAGCAACTGAGCTACACACAATTTTAAAAATCCTCGCTCACACACAATTTCAACCTCAGCTCCCACACATACACAAAACTTTCAGCAGTTATTTTAGGAAAGCTGTTATATGATTTGGTTTGAGGGCACACACCCCCACACATTTAGACACAGACACTATTGTAATAATGCATTAGTCCAGTAAGCCCAGGGGGCCGGGCAGGGGGCATGCAGGGGATCAGAGAGAGGTAGCGGAGGTAACCGTTACTTTGTGTTGCCATTCTGTCGCTTCATCTTCTTTTTTCCTCTTGGCCTCTTCAAGCAGAGCGATTTTGGCGGTGAATTCTCCTAGCTCAGCGGCCTGTGAGCGACAAGCACAAGGCACCCTGCTGTCAGACACACCAACACACTGACCACCAGACTGCAAGAGTTGAACATGGCCCACTCTCCTCCACATGAAGTTTAATGACCAACCAATATCAACATTTATTGACACATGGTTCTGTGGTGAGTGCTGTTAACATGTTATACCATCTATGAAATATTACCTGGAATACCAGAGAGAGGGGGAGGCTAGTGTGAGGATAGAATTCCCCCTGGGGCAAGCTGCCTGCACATTAACACCTCAATCACCTCAGGGCCTTCCAACACGGCATCAAAGCAAATTCATCAATGTTATTTCCCTACGCATGAAGAGATAGTTCACCCAAATTACATTTTGGTTTCCTTACCCCGTAAGCAGTCTATGGACAAGGTATGCCAGCAATTCATGTTTTGCTTTTGTTTACCTGGCCACTGTTTCAAATACTAACCTTTTAGCATTTGTAGCACAAATGAAATGCATGTCAATGGTATCAATTTTTTTTGGGGTCCAAATCATCTATAAGCAACTTCATTGAGTTATGCAATACATTTTTAGATATTTTAGGATGATTTGGACATGAAGTCTCTCTCTCTCTCTCTCTCGGAGCTGAAGCACAAAGTTGAGCTTAGGCATTTCAGGTTAAATGCCAAGATGAGGAATAACCAACCAAATCACCTGTGGAATGCTAGTAAAACCATCCATAAATCTAGTGTGACCAGTGGAGGTGTTTACAAAAAGTCAGTCTCACTTATTTACATACAACCGTATGTATTGACATGGTGATAATAGAGCAGGGACAGGGTTATTACAGTGATGATATGTTTAAGCAATAAGGCAGAGGGGGTGTGGTATATGGCCAATATACCACGGCTAAGGGCCGTTCTTACGCACGACACAACGCAGAGTTCCTGGATACAGCCCTTAGCCGTGGTATATTGGCCATATACCACAAACCCCTGAGGTGCCTTATTGCTATTATAAACTGGTTACCAACATAATTAGGGCAGTCAAAATAAATGTTTTGTCATACCCGTGGTATACGGTCTGATATAACACGGCTGTCACCCAGTTTATAATGTAGAATAGAGAATTTACAACTGTTTTAGTGTGAGAATTGCACAATCCAGAGGAGATTGTTGACTTAGAGAATTGCTGTATACCTGCCTACGGTAGGTATATTTACATGGTTTTAACTACAGTAAGACCTATATATCCTACCTTCCTTCCTTGACGTAATCAATGAATAGAAAGCAAAGTAAGGTGTCTTATCGTATCGCGTTCACTAATAATTTCATATAAGTTCTGTGATTTCTTCAAGGAAGGAAGGAAAGAAGGATGCACTGAAAGTATGTTAACGGGGCCCTGATCCAAAGCGGGGCACAGACTGGTGATGTGATGTGAAGTGTTACCAGTTGTTCCTGGTTCTTCATCTGGTCAGCAGCCTGTTTAACCAGCGCTGCCTTGGCCTCCTCTGCTGCCTGTCTCTCTCTCTCCAACCTCTCTGCCTCCTCCTTTGCTCTCTTCCTCTCCTGGTCCAACTCCAGGGCCCTGCGTGTCTGCTCTTCCAGCTCTGTATGAGCGCGCACAGACAGACACAGACAGACAGACAAAGATACACACACACACACACACACAATTAGTGATGACAACAATTTATGACAAATATACTCCGATCTGAGCAAGAGTCGCACCCATCTTTCCTGACATACATTCACACATGAATCTCTATACAGTGGGGGGAAATATTATTTAGTCAGCCACCAATTGTGCAAGTTCTCCCACTTAAAAAGATGAGAGAGGCCTGTCATTTTCATCATAGGTACACGTCAACTATGACAGACAAATTGAGAGAGAAAAAAATCCAGAAAATCACATTGTAGGATTTTTTATGAATTTATTTGCAAATTATGGTGGAAAATAAGTATTTGGTCACCTACAAACAAGCAAGATTTCTGGCTCTCACAGACCTGTAACTTCTTCTTTAAGAGGCTCCTCTGTCCTCCACTCGTTACCTGTATTAATGGCACCTGTTTGAACTTGTTATCAGTATAAAAGACACCTGTCCACAACCTCAAACAGTCACACTCCAAACTCCACTATGGCCAAGACCAAAGAGCTGTCAAAGGACACCAGAAACAAAATTGTAGACCTGCACCAGGCTGGGAAGACTGAATCTGCAATAGGTAAGCAGCTTGGTTTGAAGAAATCAACTGTGGGAGCAATTATTAGGAAATGGAAGACATACAAGACCACTGATAATCTCCCTCGATCTGGGGCTCCACGCAAGATCTCACCCCGTGGGGTCAAAATGATCACAAGAACGGTGAGCAAAAATCCCAGAACCACACGGGGGGACCTGCAGAGAACTGGGACAAAAGTAACAAAGCCTACCATCAGTAACACACTACGCCGCCAGGGACTCAAATCCTGCAGTGCAAGACGTGTCCCCCTGCTTAAGCCAGTACATGTCCAGGCCCGTCTGAAGTTTGCTAGAGTGCATTTGGATGATCCAGAAGAGGATTGGGAGAATGTCATATGGTCAGATGAAACCAAAATATAACTTTTTGGTAAAAACTCAACTTGTCGTGTTTGGAGGACAAAGAATGCTGAGTTGCATCCAAAGAACACCATACCTACTGTGAAGCATGGGGGTGGAAACATCATGCTTTGGGGCTGTTTTTCTGCAAAGGGACCAGGACGACTGATCCGTGTAAAGGAAAGAATGAATGGGGCCATATATCGTGAGATTTTGAGTGAAAACCTCCTTCCATCAGCAAGGGCATTGAAGATGAAACGTGGCTGGGTCTTTCAGCATGACAATGATCCCAAACACACCGCCCGGGCAACAAAGGAGTGGCTTCGTAAGAAGCATTTCAAGGTCCTGGAGTGGCCTAGCCAGTCTCCAGATCTCAACCCCATAGAAAATCTTTGGAGGGAGTTGAAAGTCCGTGTTGCCCAGCGACAGCCCCAAAACATCACTGCTCTAGAGGAGATCTGCATGGAGGAATGGGCCAAAATACCAGCAACAGTGTGTGAAAACCTTGTGAAGACTTACAGAAAACGTTTGACCTGTGTCATTGCCAACAAAGGGTATATAACAAAGTATTGAGAAACTTTTGTTATTGACCAAATACTTATTTTCCACCATAATTTGCAAATAAATTCATAAAAAATCCTACAATGTGATTTTCTGGATTTTTTTTCTTCTAATTTTGTCTGTCATAGTTGACGTGTACCTATGATGAAAATTACAGGCCTCTCTCATCTTTTTAAGTGGGAGAACTTGCACAATTGGTGGCTGACTAAATACTTTTTTTCCCCACTGTATGTTATGAAACAAGAGGAGTACTCAAATAATCTCCCATGGAATGACAGTGTTTACCTGAGAAAGGCCTGACCTATATTATAAACACAGATTTCTAGAGGCACCATAATGTCAGCACTACAGCCTCAACGGCTCATAATTGTCCACGACTTCACTCAAATAGACCCAGGTATGTTATGCCCTGTCCTAACAGAAAAGCTGTGGTGCAACAAGTCAAGGGCCAACAACAGAGAGAATGAATGTGCTTGTCCCTGTTCCCATACCATGATATAACAGGTGGCAGTGTCATCCTATGCCCATCTCTAACTGATATCCCATTCCTCACTCCTCCTGATAAGAGGTTAGTATGCAAATTCCAATATTGCGCACTGTAGCTGTGAACTTGTTCTGTGGTAATTGAATGTCTGAACACCAGCTATGTACTACAGTGGGTGTTAAGGCGTCAGCATGCTTCAGTTCGGCTAGCGCCTCGGCTAGCCAAACCGAACAAGTGTGCTCGCATACTCCCTTAAAGACCTTCGCTTGAAAAAACAGAAATAAACGGCAATAGTACTGTTTGTCTATTTTGAGACGCCGTAGCCAGTATACACTTCCTCAAAATAGTCTGAATTAATCTAAAATAACTCAAGAAATCTGTCATTAATTTTGACGTTTTTACCTAGGAGATCTTAGTCGCGCAATTTTACATCTAACTAAGATGTTTGGTGCAGTATTTCTCGATGAAAAAATGTGCATGAAAACGAGTCGTCTCTCGTTGAATGACAACAAATACTTTATTGAAGAATCCCTACTGTTGACCAATCACTGACGAAGGGGTGTAGACTTCGGCTCCGAACTTCAGCTTGACTCTAGAAAAACATTTGTGGCGGAACAACCGAAAAAAACCTCATAGAAGTCCAAAACTAACAAAAATGTCACAAAATGTAATCATAATATATGCACGAACTCTTGCGAAATGTTTCGGCCGGGAAGCATGCGGACGCCTTTAGTGTTACTCCAGGGTGTTGCTTGCAAGGCTATGACATTTAAAAGTAAGTGAGAGAATGCAAATCAGTCTCCTTTTCATTTTTCCTCTGAAGTATCCTTAGTGCGCGCGTGTGTGTATATATAAACCTTTCTGGGCCTTTAGCGTCTGTCCCTCAATCTGTCTGAGTCTCTCGATCAGCTCGTCCTTCTCTTTCTCTATCTTCTCCCTCTCTTTCTCTGCGTGCTCTCGTTTTTTCTTCTCGTTTTCTAGCTGAGCTCTGTAAAACAAAAGAGGATGAACATGCCTGGGCTAAGGATTCATTAAACTAATTGTAGAATATACTGCTCATTTCATTCAATATCAAATTATATTTTCATGTATTTTCATGTATAAAATATGATCACAAAACAACATTCTGCAACTAAGATGCTTTACGAAAAGACAAGACACACAAAAATGCACATAAGAGCCATACAAACAGTGGTGGAAAAAGTACTCAATTGTCATACTTCAGTAAAAGTAAAAACGTAAAAGCTATACATCAAATATATTAAGAAAACCAGATGGCAGACAGGGGCACACTCCAACACTCAGACATTAATGACAAACGCAGTATACAGTATACATTTGTGTTTAGTGAGTCCGCCAGATCAGAGGCAGTAGGGATGACAACGCGTTATATTGATAGGTGTTTGAATTGGACCATAATTCTGTCCTGCCTGAGCATTCAGTACTTTTTGGTTTCAGGGAAAATGTATGGGAGTAGAAAGTACATATTTTATTTAGGAATGTAGTGCAGTAAAATATATATAGTAAAGTTAAGTATAAATAACCCAAAAAACAACATAAGTAGTAATTTAAAGTATTTTTAAGCACTTTACACCACTGCATACAGAGATATCCAGTCCATGGCTGTATCTCAATAGCCTCTTTGGACCATCCTGATCTCCAGAGAGCAGCTGTCAGGATGGTAGATCAGGCTTGTATCTCAATTTTATTTCTGTAATTCCCTGTATCCTCTCTTCTCCCCTCCTTTTGGGAATCAAGGAAATACAGAGATTTACCTTTTATGTGGCTCTAATGCAGACCAGACATATTTTAATACAATGCTGCCCCCTTCTGGACAGAATCACAACCACGTCTGCATGCGTTCCTCCAGTACTGTACCTCTCCATCTGTTTATGGTGTTTCTCCTCTCGGGCCTGGGCCTTCATCTGCTGCACCTCGATGGTGTCAGGCTTCCTCCTCCTCATGTACAGCTCGTGGTTCCCCATGCACAGCGCCAGGATACGCTTGTTGATCCGCAACCGTGGCGCGTAGAATACAAAGTCCTTCAGAGAGAGGAGGAGGGGAGAGAAGGGCAATGTGGAGAACAGGGGTGGCTAACTCTACTCCAATGTCATTATTATATTCTCATTGTTTATTGTACATTGTGTTGTATTATTTCCTCCCACCATCCCCTACCTTCCCGGTAGACTGATCCCCTACCTTCCTTGTAGACTGACTTACTGGGGCTTTCTTGTCGATGGGTTTGATGACAAACTTCTTGTCGTTGAAGGAGATGTTTCTGATCTCGCTCCAGGGGAAGCCAATCTTTGGTGTCAACCTGGGGAGGAGGGAAGGGAAAGCACAGACTATCACAACACTACACTAGTACAGTAATATGCAATGGGAAGGTAACTGTCTACCTACAATACATCAGCGTAGTACTAAATGAAACTAAAGGTACCATCCATGGCCAGCGGAGGGCAATAGTGTCATGGAATATATCTTACAAAGCCATGCTCAGGTAGCCACAAAAGCTATCTTACCTTCCACTCTAAAATAATTGATGAATAAATATATAAATAGTATAACTAAATAACTAAATAAATAAATATTCCACATTGTATAAGTCAGTGTTTCGTACTTGTCCTCGTGTTCGTAGATATTGAGTCCCAGTGCATCCACACCCAGCCACAACTCAGTTCCCTTCTTGTTCTTGATCTCAAAGTAGTTGACTCCATACATCTCCAGGTCCTGGGCTATCTTCAGATACTCCATCATTGAGTCCTCTCTGTGTACACAAACACAAATTGGAAAGTTATAACTTGTGTAGAGGAGAAAGTGTGATACAAACACTCTCATACAAAGCACACACAGACAGAGACCCTCATACATAGCCCTACCTGAGCATGCCTGTGTGTTCCTCGTGCCAGGTCTGTATTCTGTCCTCCCATTGCTCCTTAGTCAACTTGTGCTGCTCCAACACTCTGCAGGATACACACAGGGTTATTCAAACAGAGCCACAGTAGAGGCCTGGCATCAAAAGACAGCACAGATTTATAGTGACGGAGAGTTGAGCCACTTTACTAAAGAACAGCTCATTTAAAAAAGCTCCCTCTGAGGGGGACAGCACACACTCCCTCTGAGGGGGACAGAGAGGGTTAGAGGGAGACCTAGAGGGTTAGAGGGGGACAGAGAGGGAACAGAGAGGGTTAGAAGGGGACAGAGAGGAAACAGAGGGGGACAAAGAGGGAACAGAGGGGGACAGAGAGGGAACAAAGGGGGAACAGAGAGGGAACAGAGGGGGAACAGGGGGGGACAGAGAGGGAACAGGGGGGGACAGAGAAGGACAGAGAGGGAAAGAGGGGGACAGAGAGGGAACAGAAAGGGAACTGAGGGGGACAGAGAGGGAACAGAGGGTGACGGAGAGGGACAGAGAGGGAACAGAGGGTGACGGAGAGGGGACAGAGAGGGAACAGAGGGTGACGGAGAGGGACAGAGAGGGACAGAGAGGGAACAGAGGGTGACGGAGAGGGACAGAGAGGGAACAGAGGGTGACGTAGAGGGACAGAGAGGGACAAGAGGGAACAAGGGTGACGGAGAGGGACAGAGAGGGACAGAGAGGGAACCAGAGGGTGACGGAGAGGGACAAGAGGGACAGAGAGGGAACAGAGGGTGACGAGAGGGACAGAGAGGGATCAGAGAGTGAACAGAGGGTGACGGAGAGGGACAGAGAGGGACAGAGTGTGACTGAGAGGGACAGAGAGGGACAGAGAGGTAACAGAGGGTGACGGGGGGAGAGGGACAGAGGGTGACGGAGAGGGACAGAGAGGGACAGAGAGGGGACAGAGAGGGAACAGAGGGGTGACGGAGAGGGACAGAGAGGACAGAGAGGGAACAGAGGGTGACGGAGAGGGACAGAGAGGGACAGAGAGGGAACAGAGGGTGATGGAGAGGGACAGAGAGGGACAGAGAGGGAACAGAGGGTGACGGAGAGGGACAGAGAGGGACAGAGAGGGAACAGAGGGTGACGGAGAGGGACAGAGAGGGAACAGAGGGTGACGGAGAGGGACAGAGAGGGACAGAGAGGGAACAGAGGGTGACGGAGAGGGACAGAGAGGGACAGAGAGGGAACAGAGGGTGACGGAGAGGGACAGAGAGGGACAGAGAGGGAACAGAGAGGGAACAGAGAGGGAACAGAGGGTGACGGAGAGGGACAGAGAGGGACAGAGAGGGAACAGAGGGTGACGGAGAGGGACAGAGAGGGACAGAGAGGGACAGAGAGGGAACAGAGGGTGACGGAGAGGGACAGAGAGGGACAGAGAGGGAACAGAGGGTGACGGAGAGGGACAGAGAGGGACAGAGAGGGAACAGAGGGTGACGGAGAGGGACAGAGAGGGACAGAGAGCGAACAGAGGGTGACGGAGAGGGACAGAGAGGGAACAGGGGGGGACAGAGAGGGAACAGAGGGGGAACAGAGAGGGAACAGAGGAATTGGTGTGGGGTACAGACCTCTGTGGCAGCAGGCGGTCGGAGGTGAGGTAACCAGGCTTGTGGATGTCTCTGTTGTAGTCTGCATACTTGGCCTGGACAGAGTAGGAGGCCAGCAACACGGCAGTCTCTGGAGGACAGTAGTTCTCATCGTTCAGGATGGCCTCCTTCACCTGGCATGGGCAGGGAACACACATACTTTGTTTGGATCTGCAATGTACATTGTGAGTACAAAGGACACACTGTAGAAGTGTGTGTGTCTGTTACCTGCAGGAAGAAGAGTCTCTGTGTGATCTCCTGGATGAGCTCCTCAGACACGTCCTCAGGGAAGAACTTGGCTCTGAACTTAAACTGCAGAGGGTTCTCCTTCTTCACATCTTGCTGCGTCACCTTCTTATTGAGTTTGAGCCACGTGCTGTAGTCTTTACTGTCTGTGTACTGCAGGCCAAAAAACCACACCTCCCGGAGACCCACTGTCTTCACCACCTGAAAACACAAAATGCATAAATTATCAACTCTCTCTCTCTCTCTCTCTCTCTCTCTCTCTCTCTCTCTCTCTCTCTCTCTCTCTCTCTCTCTCTCTCTCTCTCTCTCTCTCTCTCTCTCGTCAAAGTATACATATAACAAAAATGGTGGGACCAACAGCAATAATAATAATAGTAGTGGAAATGGGATTACCATTAACAGCAACTACAACAACAATATTAATGAGAATAACAATACATTAAAGCAATAGTAGTAGACCAGTCTCAACATGACTGAGAAGCCACATGACATGGAATATTATTGACATTACATTGCACTTTCACTGGCTGTCCCTCAGGTTGTGGCAGGAGGACACATATTTGGCTACACCCAATTCTGGCTTTTCACCCAATAAATATATATATATTTTTCATCTTTTTTTAGTTTCAAATTCTTTGTACTGAATGATAATTTTGGGAAAGAAAGATTCTCTTAGGTCTGAGTATTTGTCACAGTGTAATAGGAAATGCAGCTCTGTCTCTACCTCTCCCCTGGGGCAGAGTGAACACAGCCTGTCCTCTCTGGGCAGCCAGGTTCGCCTGTGATGACCGGTCTCTATAGCCAGACTGTACCTAGTCAGTGTTTTCCTCAGTTTTCTATCAGTCACAGTGGTCAGATAGTCTGCCACCATGTACTGTCTGTTTAGAGGCAAATATCATTGACATTTACTTTGATTTTTTGTGGTGTCTTTCCAATAGGTGCATATTCTTCCTTTTTGCTTCGTGATGATTTGGTTAGCCCAGATTTTCTGAGTGCTGTCCTGAGGCTCTATGGTGTTGGTTTGGGTTAGTGAACTGAGCCTCAGAACCAGCTGGCTGAGGGGACTCTTCTCTTGTTTAATCTCTTGACATTGTAGAGCTGTGTGATGGAATGTTTAGGGGTCACTTGTTTTTAGATGGTTGTAAAATTGTATGGCTCTTTTTTCTATTTGAATAAGGAGGGGGTATTGGCCCAATTCTGCTCTACATGCATTATTTTGAGTTTTTCTTTGCACTTGCAATACAGTCTTGCAAAACTCTGCATGCAGTTTTTCAATTGGATGTTTGTCCCATTTGGTCAATTTATTATTAGAGAGCGGACACCATACATCGCTGCCATATAGAGCAATTGGTTCTATAACTGATTGGAACATTTTGAACCAGATTCTAATTTTAATGTTCCTTTTAATGGCATAGAATGCTCTTCTTGCTTTGTCTCTCAGCTCATTCACAGCCATGTGAAAGCTACCTGTGTTGCTGATATTTAGTCCTAGTGTCACGCCCTGACTCAGGGGACTCTTATATGTTGAGTCAGGGTGTGTATATTCTTTGTGGTGTTTTCTATGTTTTGATCTATTATGTGTAGATCTATGTTGGCCGGTGTGGTTCCCAATCAGAGGCAGCTGTAGCTCGTTGTCTCTGATTGGGGATCATACTTAGGCAGCCTATTGGCACTAGTGGGTTGTGGGATCTTGTTCCTTGTAAGGTATGTTGTCTGTGCTACCTTGGACTTCACGTTTCGTTTCGTTTAATGTTTTGTCGAGTGTTTATTACGTTAATAAACATGTACGTATATCACGCTGCGCCTTGGTCTGTCCCGTCATTCAACGAACGTGACAGAAGATCCCACCAAACGAGGACCAAGGAGCGGATGGCCATGTCACAGGTGGCCAATTTGTGGTCATGGGAGGAGATATTCGCGGGGAAAGGACCATGGGCTAAGGTAGATGCCCAGGCAGGAGAGGAGCAACGGCAACACGGAGGAGGCCGGTCGAGGAGGAAGCCCGAGAAGCAGCCCCAATAAAAAATTTGGGGGGGGCACACGGGGTGGTTGGCGGAGCCTAGGGTTAGAGCAGAGCCAACTCCCCGTACTCACGCGAGGAAGCGTATGACTGGGCAAGCTCCGTGTTATGCGGAGCTACGTACTGTGTCGCCAGTGCGCCGGCACAGTCCTGTACGTCCTGTGCTGGCACCACGCACGTGCCGTGCGAAGATGGGCATCCAGCCAGGACGGGGTGTGCCGGCTCAACGCTCCTGGTCTCCAGTACGCCTCCTCGGTCCCGCATATCCTGCGCCAGTTCTACGAACGGTATCGCCAGTGCGCGTGCACAGCCCAGTGCGTCCTGTGCCAGTGCCCCGCACGTGTAGTGCGAAAGTGGGCAGCCAGCCAGGACGGGTTGTGCCAGCTCTCCGCTCCAGACCTCCAGTCCGCCTTCACAGTCCGGTCCGGCCCTTTCCTGCTCCTCGCACCAAGCCAGTGGTGCGCGTCGCCAGCCCGGCCCGGCCTGTTCCTGCTCCTCGCACCAAGCTAGTGGTGCGCGTCGCCAGTTCCGGCCCGGCCCGTTCCTGCTCCTCGCACCAAGCCAGTGGTGCGCGTCGCCAGTCCGGCCCGGCACCGGCCCGGCCCGTTCCTGCTCCTCGCACCAAGCCAGTGGTGCGCGTCGCCAGTCCGGCCCGGCCCGTTCCTGCTCCTCGCACCAAGCCAGTGGTGCGCGTCGCCAGTCCGGCCCGTTCCTGCTCCTCGCACCAAGCCAGTGGTGCGTGTCACCAGCCCGGCCCGGCCTGTTCCTGCTCCTCGCACCAAGCCAGTGGTGCGCGTCGCCAGTCCGGCCCGGCCTGTTCCTGCCCCTCGCACCAAGCCAGTGGTGCGCGTCGCCAGTCCGGCCCGGCCTGTTCCTGCGCCTCGCACCAAGCCAGTGGTGCGCGTCGCCAGTCCGGCCCGGCCTGTTCCTGCTCCTCGCACCAAGCCAGTGGTGCGCGTCGCCAGTCCGGCCCGTTCCCTCCCCTCGCACCAAGCCAGTGGTGCGTGTTCCTAGTCCGATCCGGCCCGTGCCTTCGCCTCGCACCAGACCAGTGGTGCGTTTGTCCAGTCCGGCACGGCCCGTGCCCGTCAGCTGCTCCACTCCGGAGCCAGAGCAGTCCGCTCCACCGGTGCCTGATCCAGTTCTGGTCAGCTGTTCCACTCCGGAACCAGAGCAGTCCGCTCCACCGGTGCCTGATTCTGCTCCGGTCAGCGGCTCCACTCCGGAGCCAGAGCAGTCCGCTCCACCGGTGCCTGATTCAGCTCCGGTCAGCGGCTCCACTCTGGAGCCAGAGCAGTCCGCTCCACCGGTGCCCAGTCCAGCTCCGGTCAGCGGCTCCAGTCCGGAGCCTGACGTCAGCCCCTCTCCAGGTTCGGGGTCTCTCACACCAGGGTCCAGACAGGGTCTGGTGTATCGTGGGAGGAAGGAGAGGGGAAGCAGCGCGCTGAGGTCCAGACCGGACCAGGGGCGTAATGGGGGGGAGGAGAGATTGTGGTCGTCACGCCCGGAGCCGGATCCGCCTCCGAAGTGGAATGCCCACCCGGACCCTTCCCTGTCATGTCATGTTTGTGCGGTCGGAGTCCGCACCTTTGGGGGGGGGGGGGGGTACTGTCACGCCCTGACTCAGGGGACTCTTATATGTTGAGTGTGTATATTCTTTGTGGTGTTTTCTATGTTTTGATCTATTATGTGTAGATCTATGTTGATCATACTTAGGCAGCCTATTGGCACTAGTCAATCAATCAATTTTATTTTATATAGCCCTTCTTACATCAGCTAATATCTCGAAGTGCTGTACAGAAACCCAGCCTAAAACCCCAAACAGCTAGTAATGCAGGTGTAGAATCACTAGTGGGTTGTGGGATCTTGTTCCATGTAAGGTATGTTGTGTGTGCTACCTTGGACTTCACTTTTCGTTTATTGTTTTGTCGAGTGTTTATTACGTTAATAAACATGTACGTATATCACGCTGCGCCTTGGTCTGTCCCGTCATTAAACGAACGTGACACCTAGAAACGTGTCGTTTTTGGTGTGTTCTAATAGAACTGTGTCCAAATAGAATTTATATTTGTGATCCTGATTTCCTGACCTTTTTTTGAGTATATTTCTATTTGTTTGTTTTAGGTTAACTGTCAGAGCCCAGGTCTGACAGAACCTGTGCAGATGATCTAGATGCTGCTGTAACCCCTCCTTAGTGGGAGACAGTAGCACCAGGTCATCTGTGTACAGCAGACACTTGATTTCAGTGTTGTGTAGGATGAGACCAGGTGCTGGAGATTCTTCTAATGTTTTTGCCAATTCATTAATGTAGATGTTAAATAGTGTTGGACTTATTGAGCAGCCCTGTTTCACTCCACGTCCCCGAGAGAAGAAGTCTGTTTGCTTGTTGCCAATTTTAACCGCAAATTTGTTTTTAGTGTACATTGATTTAATAACATAATTTGTTTTCCCTCCAATACCACTTTCTATTAGTTTATAAAAAAGAACTTTGTGCCAAATTGAATCAAATGCTTTCTTGAAGTCTACAAAACACAAGTAGATTTTGCCTTTGTTTTGGTTTACTTGTTTGTCAGAGTGTGGAGGGTGTAAATGTGGTCTGTTGTACAATAATTTAAAAAAAAAATCCATTCTGGCTTCTGCTCAGGACGTTGTGTTCATCAAGGATATTACGTATTCTGCTATTTATGATACTGCAGAGAATTTTCCCCAAGTTGCTGTTAACGCAAATTCCTCTGTAATGATTTGGGTCAAATCTGTCTCCGTTTCTATAGATTGGTGTGATCAATCCTTGGTTCCAAATACTGGGGAAAACGCAAATTCCTCTGTAATGATTTGGGTCAAATCTGTCTCCGTTTCTATAGATTGGTGTGATCAATCCTTGGTTCCAAATACTGGGGAAAATACCTGCAGTGAGGATAATGTTGAGTTTGAGTATAGCCAATTTGAATTTGTGGTCTGTATATTTGATCATTTAATTTAAAATACCATCAGCACCACAGGCCTTTTTGGGTTGGAGTGCATAGTTTTTCCAATAATTATTATTCTGTAATTGGGGTATCCACAGGATTCTGATAGTCTTTGACTGCTGATTCAAGGATTTGTAATTTTTCTTGTATATCTTTTTGTTCTGGGCTATTTGTTATATTTGCTGTAGAGGTTTGCAAAGTAATTTCTCCACATATCCCCATTTTGGATAGCCAATTCCTCATGATGAGGTTTGTTTAATTTATTCAAATTCTCCCAGAAGTGGTTTGATTCTATGTATACCTCAATTCCATCCAGCTGATTTCTAATGTGCGGTTCCTTTTTTGTTCTTAGGGTGCGTTTGTATTGCTTCAGTGTTTCCCCATATTGAAGGCGTATATTTTTGTTGTCTGGTTCTCTGTGTTTTTGATTAGATATATTTCTCAATGACTTTCTTAGATTTTATCAATCATTATCAAACCATTTTTCATTATCTATTCTTTTTGGTTTGCTCTTATGTTTCTTTAGATTAGCCAAGGAGGCTAATTTGTCAAATATAAAGTTTATGTTCCAAACGGCCAAATTTACACCTTCATTGCTGTAAGAGGCTAAAAAGTTGTCCAGGAGAGATTGTATTTTTTGGCTACTAATTGCTTTTTGGTAGATTTCTGTACTGTTTGCACTCCATCTATAGGCCTGTTTAGTACCATGTAATTTATTGGGATGTGATTTTACTGTGGTCTGAGAGAGGTGTTAGTGGGCTGACTGTGAAGGCTCTGAGAGACTCTGGGTAGAGGTCAGTGATAAAGTAGTCTACAGTACTGCTGCCAAGGTATGAGCTATAGGTGTACTTACCAAAAGAGTCCCCTCTTAGCCTACATTGACTATGTACACACCCAGTGTTCAACAGAGCTTCAGGAGCTGTGCTCCATTTTTGTTTTTCACTTTGTCATAGTTGTTTCTGGGGGGGTATGTGGGGAGGGAAAGGTTGTTGCTTCCCGGTAGGTGTTTGTCCCCATGACTGTTGATAGTGTCTAGTTCTTCTGCTGTTCTAGCATTCAGGTCTCCACATACCAGTACGTTGCCTTGGGCCTGAAAGTGACTAATCTCCCCCTCTAGAATGGAGAAACTCTCTTCATTGAAGTAGGGTGACAGAGGGGGGAATGTATATGGCACAGAGGAAGACGTTTTTATCTGTTAAGATAGCTTCCTTGTTGATTTTTAACCAGATAAAGAATTCTCCTGTTTTGATCAATTCGATTGAATTAGTTAGTTTAGATTTATACCATATTAGCATTCCCCATGAGTCTCTGCCCTGTGTGATTCCTTTTAATTTGGTGGATGGTACGACGCCAGGACAGCGGAGTCACTCACCACCTTCCGGAGACATTTGAAACCCCACCTCTTTAAGGAATACCTGGGATAGGATAAAGGAATCCTTCTACCCCCCCCCCCCCAATTGTAAAGTGGTTATCCCACTGGCTATAGGGTGAACGCACCAATTTGTGAGTCGCTCTGGCTAAGAGTGTCTGCTAAATGACGTTAATGTGCCCTTGAGCAAGGCACTTAACCCTAATTGCTCCTGTAAGTCGCTCTGGATAAGAGCGTCTGCTAAATGACTAAAATGTAAATGTAAATGTACGATTATCTTACTATAACCTAGTGGACAGCCAGTGGAAACATCACCTCTGCACCATGTTTCCTGTAGTACTACAATATCAACATCATCAATTTCTTTCAGGAAGTCTGGGTTTCTGCTCTTTAGCCCAAAAAGCAGAGGACTTCAATCCTTGTAAAATCCAACATGCAACGTAAAAAGATTTCATAACTGTTTTTTCTTTACCTTCAAAATGGTGGAGAGGTCGGGCTGCGGTTTAAAGTGACGTCCTTTAGAGTCTTGGCAAGGATGGGGACTGTCTCCCTGTACAGGTGAACATGGTCATATAAACAGTCCGGATCGAGGGTGGGATGGTGGGCCAGGTGTACATTGGGTCGCAGGGCACAGTCCCGGGAGAGGCTGGCGTTTATTCTTTGGATTGTGGCAGGGTGGAAGACGGTCCTCTGTAGAAGGGTTGACACCACGATCCTGGAGTGGTGATCTAGCTGCTCCTGCAGCCTGTCCTCTGTACTCTTTCTCTCCTGCAGCTCCTCTCTTAGTGTGGTCAGCTCGTTATTACTGTTGTGCTTGTCTTTTTGGAGCTCTCTCACCTCCTTTGTTAGATCAGCCAGCTCTCTCTTGAGTTCGTCTCTCTCTTGCTGAACCTCTTTCAGATGTGTTGTAAGGCTGTTGTCCTGCTCTGTCCGTCCTTTGGTTAGGAGCTCCTCTAACGTGTGGATGTCTGGTTGCTGTTTGCTTACACTCTCCCTGAACAGGACCACCTCCCCCTCTAGTTTAGTGAACTCATCCCTCATGGCAGCCATGGTGGTGAGGAGGGCCTGAGCCTGCTCTGCACTGAGGGGGTCGCTCTCCTCCTGGGGCGTGTCCTCCACTATGGTGGGAAGAGAGGTGCTGGATGTGCCTTTTTGGGTGGGGATAGTGGGGGTGAGAGTGGTGCAAGTTTCTCTTGTGGGAGGGCATGTCACTGGTGGTGTCATTCTCTCTCTCTGCTCTTTCCTTAATGGTCTGAACAGCCTAAAATTACCTTGCACCATGACAGTCCCAGTCTTGTAGAGGTTGATTGTTATCATGGTGCTGTCAGGGTCGTCTGTCTCTTTGACTTTCAGCTTCCACCCATAACAGATTCCCTCTTTCTTTATGGATGGGTAGTGAGAGCAGACTGCTGAGCGCCATACATTTGGCTGGTCAGTGAGAAAGATGAGATTACTCGCATCACCGTTTTTGTTTGTCTGCTGCTGTTGCTAGCTAGCTCTAATTTATTTTTATTTTTTTATTTTTTTAGCTCAAAAAACGGCAAAAAAAGTGAAAAATCTTCACACAAAAAAACAGAAGACATGTTTAACGTTAGAGTCCGTGCTGCTTTTTGGTTTACTCACTCAATTTGGTTGTTTGATGTCGTTGTATTAACTCCCCTTGCTAGGTTTGTTCTAGCTAAATTTTTATGGCTAGCTTGTTAGCCTGCTGGCTAGGTTTTTGTTGTTTAGCTAGCTAGCAAGAGTCAAACCTCCTTAATTTGAGGCACTTACTGATTGAATAGAGTTGTTGTTCATCACTTCTTGTATGAAATTATTTTTAAAATTTGAGTATTTATCTCATTCTAAAAACAGATCTCCCTCTCTCCCTCTCTCCCTCTCTCCCTCTCTCCCTCCCTCCCTCCCTCCCTCCCTCCAGTGAGGGGAAAAAAGTATTTCATCCCCTGCTGATTTTGTACATTTGCCCACTGACAAAGAAATGTTCATTCTATAATTTTAATGTTAGGTTTATTTGAACAGTGAGAGACAGAATAACAACAAAAAGATCAAGAAAAACGCATGTCAAAAATTTTATGAATGAGGGAAATAAGTATTTGACCCCCTCTCAATCAAAAATATTTCTGGCTCCCAGGTGTCTTTTATACAGGTAACTCTTAAAGGGAGTGCTCCTAATCTCAGCTTGTTACCTGTATAAAAGACACCTGTCCACAGAAGCAATCAATCAGATTCCAAACTCTCCACCATGGCCAAGACCAAAGAGCTCTCCAAGGATGTCAGGGACAAGATTGTAGACCTACACAAGGCTGGAATGGGCTACAAGACCATCGGCAAGCAGCTTGGTGAGAAGGTGACAACAGTTGGTGCGATTATTCGAAAATGGAAGAAACACAAAATAACTGTCAATCTCCCTCGGCCTGGGGCTCCATGCAAGATCTCACCTCGTGGAGTTGCAATGATCATGAGAACGGTGAGGAATCAGCCCAGAACTACACGGGAGCATCTTGTCAATGATCCCAAGGCAGCTGGGTCCATAGTCACCAAGAAAACAATTGGTAACACACTACGCCGTGAAGGACTGAAATCCTGCAGCGCTCGCAAGGTCCCCCTGCTCAAGAAAGCACATATACAGGGCCGTCTGAAGTTTGCCAATGAACATCTGAATGATTCAGAGGAGAACTGGGTGAAAGTGTTGTGGTCAGATGAGACCAAAATGGAGCTCTTTGGCATCAACTCAACTCGCCGTGTTTGGAGGAGGATGAATGGTGCCTATGACCCCAAGAACACCATCCCCACCGTCAAACATGGAGGTGGAAACATTATGCTTTGGGGGTGTTTTTCTGCTAAGGGGACAGGACAACTTCACTGCATCAAAGGGACGATGGATGGGGCCATGTACCGTCAAATCTTGGGTGAGAACCTCCTTCCCTCTGCCAGGGCATTGAAAATGGGTCGTGGATGGGTATTCCAGCATGACAATGACCCAAAACACATGGCCAAGGCAACAAAGGAGTGGCTCAAGAAGAAGCACATTAAGGTCCTGGAGTGGCCTAGCCAGTCTCCAGACCTTAATCCCATAGAAAATCTGTGGAGGGAGCTGAAGGTTCGAGTTGCCAAACGTCAGCCTCGAAACCAGCAAAAACAGTTTTTTTAGAAATGTTAAAATAAAAATAAAATAAAAATACAAAACGGAAATCACATTTACATAAGTATTCAGACCCTTTACTCAGTACTTGTTGAAGCACATATGGCGGCAATTACAGCCTCGAGTCTTCTTGGGTATGACGCTACAAGCTTGGCACACCTGTATTTGGGAGAGTTTCTCCCATTCTTCTCTGCAGATCCTCTCAAGCTCTGTCAGGTTGGATGGGGAGCGTCGCTGCACAGCTATTTTCAGGTCTCTCCAGAGATGTTCAATCGGGTTCAAGTCCGGGCTCTGGCTGGGCCACTCAAGAACATTCAGAGACTTGTCCCGAAGCCACTCCTGCGTTGTCTTGGCTGTGTGCTTAGGGTTGTTGTCCTGTTGGAAGGTGAACCTTCGCCCCAGTCTGAGGTCCTGAGAGCTCTGGAGCAGGATCTCTCTGTACTTTGCTCCGTTCATCTTTCCCTCGATCCTGACTAGTCTCCCAGTACCTGCCGCTGAAAAACATCGCCCAAGCATGATGCTGCCACCACCATGCTTCACCGTAGGGATGGTGCCAGGTTTCCTCCAGATGTGACGCTTGGCATTCAGGCCAAAGAGTTCAATCTTGGTTTCATCAGACCAGAGAATCTTGTTTCTCATTGTCAGAGTTCTTTAGGTGCCTTTTATGCAAACTCCAAGCGGGCTGTCATGTGCCTTTTACTGAGGAGTGGCTTCCATCTGGCCACTCTACCATAAAGGCCTGATTGGTGGAGTGCTGCAGAGATGGTTGTCCTTCTGGAAGGTTCTCCCATCTCCACAGAGGAACTCTAGAGCTCTGCAAGAGTGACCATCGGGTTCTTAGTCACCTCCCTGACCAAGGCCCTTCTCCTCCGATTGCTCAGTTTGACCGGACGGCCAGCTCTAGGAAGAGTCTTGGTGGTTCCAAACTTCTTCCATTTAAGAATAATGGAGGACACTGTGTTCTTGGGGACCTTTAATGCTGCAGAAATGTTTTGGTACCCTTACCCAGATCTGTGCCTCGACACAATCCTGTCTCTGAGTTCTACTGACAATTTCTTCGACCTCATGGCTTGGTTTTTGCTCTGACATGCACTGTCAACTGTGGGACCTTATGTAGACAGGTGTGTGCCTTTCCAAATCATGTCCAATCAATTGATTTTACCACAAGTGGACTCCAATCAAGTTGTAGAAACATCTCAAGGATGACCAATGGAAACAGGATGCATCTGAGCTCAATTTTGAGTCTCATAGCAAAGGGTCTGAATACTTATGTAAATAAGGTATTTCCGTTTTTTTTTATTTAATACATTTGCTAAAATTTCTAAAAATCTGTTTTCGCTTTGTCATTATGGGGTATTGTGTGTAGATTGATGAGATTTTTATTTATTTAATCAATTTTAGAATAAGGCTGTAATGTAACAAAATGTGGAAAAAGTAATGGGGTCTGAATACTTTCCGAATGCACTCTCTCAACACATGTATGTCTTTGTATTTATAACACTCACTGAGGCTCTGACAGATAGAAAGCCTGACTCACCGGATCTCTATGTCTCTCTGTGTATTTCTCAGTCACCATGGAAACCAGCTGTCCAACACTGACTGAAGCACGCCCGATGGTGTGTGCGTTTGTGTGTGTCTGCGCGCGCGTGCATGCGTGTTGTAGTGAGCATGACTGAGTGTGCATGTGAGAGTGTAAGTTAAGGTCAATGGAGTCCAATGACTGAGTGGCACACACACACTGATGAGCTGTGAGGGGAACCAACAGAGCCCAGTCAACAGAAGAGGATCCCTGCTGAGTCAGAGCTGGGCTCCATTCCAACACTACAGAAATAACTAGTCACATTGGGGAGAATTGTCAGACAATCTTTGGAGTGGAATGGAGCCGCAAATTTAACCGACTGTAAATGTCAATCACATTACGAGTTAAAATATTCAAATATCAGGTTTTCCTCCACTCAGTCAGCTTCCATGGGAAATGCATGCAAACAATATCTCTGTCTGTACATCTCTCTGCTGCCCCAGCAGTCTCCAGCAGCCCACCCGGGTTCAGCTACTGAAAGCTGCCCTTTCTCTGCTCAGACAACACACACTGGTCTCTCTCTCTCCCAGCACAATGATTGCTCTGTTTCTCTGTCTCAGTCTCTCTGTTACTGACAATACCCATACAGGCTCTAACTAGACCAGTCCAGCTCCCAGCCTTGTTGACCCTCAGTAGTGTGTGTTTGTTGTACGTTAACCCCATGATTACCTGGTCATTAAGCTAGTCTGTAAATGAGTGGCGTGAGTGAGAAGTAAATTAACCCCATGCTTACCTGGTTATGAAACTAGTCTGTACGTGAGTGAGTGAGTGAGAGTAAATGAGTGAGTGAGTGTGAGAGGTAAATTAAAACCATGCTTACCTGGTCAAAAAGCTGTTTGCCGGTGGTGTTGGGCTGGATGGCAAACTCCAGCTCTGCATCCATGGTGGTGACCCGCACATTGATCTATACACACAGACAGAATACCCATTAGTAACTTATATCGCAACATGTTCATATACAAAGACAGTATTTTAAGTAAAATGAGCGGAAGGATTTGTGCACAGCAGTGTAATTCTCTTCCAAGCTGCTGGTTTTGACAAGACCATTATGAGAACATTCCATTCACACACACAGCTAATTCAAAGCAAGTAGACACACATGTTAACGTCCCCACAGATACTTTTATATGCATCACACAGCCCACGTGGCAGTCTGCACCCCCCTCCACCCCTCTTATCTCCCTCTATCAGTCTACTCAGCTGCACCCCGTCCCCACCATCTCACAGCTGGAGAGAAGAGAACACATATTGTTAGTCTACAGCAGCCACGACTGAACCCAGTACACTGATAGACACACCACTGCATGGGAATTAGAGAGAGGGGGCCAG